GGGCATGTGCCCTGACTAGGAAATCGAATGGTGACCTCCTGGTTTATAGGTCGATGCTCAACCACTGAGCCAGCGAGTTTTGATATAGAAGCTCAACAGATTATGGGGCAATCATTCCAACAACAGGCTTTGCATCACCCATCAGTGACGTGGGGAAATGCTCCACAAACAAGGTTAACTGAAACAACCAAGATACAAAACCTCCTGCACAATCAGATCCCAGATTTGTAATTCGGGAAAAAGACAGGAAGCAAGTAATGCTGAAGTATGAACCCAGGTGGTGTATGAGTAATGGGATAGGTGATTTTTTTAAAGAAATAAATCTTCGAAGCGTGACTGCATTCCTTTAAAAATATTTCTTTGCCTCCGTATTGTTTTGTATTTGAAGGAGCATTTCTTTTCTTTTGATTATACTTTCTTCCACGTGTGTGGAGTGCCTGCCTGTATCTGCCAGCGATAGGCACGCAGACCCTAAACATCTCCATTAGCCAATGGATGCTGTGCCATGTTATTTTCTTGTTAGAGAAATACACAATTCCAAAACAAAAAACAAACAAAAAAAAAGCTCTTGCCTTGTAGGAGAAGGAACCCTGGCTCCCGGGGTCGGCGCTGCTCGTGGGCGGGAGCTGCTGCAGCTGCAGGGCTGCGCTGTGGGCTCGGTCCATGGTGTCTAAGCGCACATCCCGCGGGCCTGGCTCAGAAGCTGGGCTGCACTACGCGGGACCGGAGCGGGGAGCCATCGTCCCCGGCGGTGTTCATCTCCTCCCACCAGCCATCTCTGTCTCACGCCAAATCCGTCCTTCAAGGCCCTTCTGGCTGATTTATAGCCTTTTCCTCATCTTCACTCAGAGACGTGCAAATTCCTGCAAGCGGACAACCAGGGATGCGTTTCCTGATTCCTGCGGTGCTCTGGGGGTTGGGAATGGGGGGGGGGGGAGGAGGAACATTAAAAATGCATGTACAGTGAAACATTGAGCCCAGCTTTGTTACCTGAGAATACCACTAGGATAAAGAACAAACTGTCATGAGAAGTGAGGTCATTAAAAAAATTGTATCATGCCTTTGGTCCCCTTAATAAAGATATGGCTCATCTATCTCAAAATCATTTTCCTTGGCCCTTAACAATCCCCTTTCCTCTCCCCCTCTGCTTCCTTCCTCCCATCCTAATTTAAGTCCTACTTTTTTCCATAGAATCTTCTAGTAGAATACTGCCTGTGTCTACTTCTCCAGGCCTCAAAAAAATAAATAAATAAATAAAAATAAAAATAAATCCCACTGTCACAAAAGGAACCATCAGGTTCTGACTTAGGAGAGAAAGAATGAGAAAAGTTATCTCCATGGAAAAGGGAAGAACTGGGCTGCCACCTAGGGTCAGAGAGGTAGCACAGGACTGGAGGTGGACGATCTGTGCAACCAGATCACTTTACCTCTAGGCTCAGTTGTCTCATCTGTAAAGTGGGGGTAATAATGTGACTTCAAGTTAAAACCATCAATGGTGGTAATTCCTGTTAACATCACTGGACTGATATTTCCAGTGGGTCTCAAACTTTTCTACCAAATAGAAAAGAAACGGTATGCCCTCGTGTTGTGGGAGTCATGGCCTGAAACCCCCTCCCCGCCCCCTAAATGTTAAGGGTTTCTTTGAGATCCTCTTATATTTAAAAAAATAACACAGATTTGGATTCTACTGTAAAGTCTATGTTTATTTTAATATAAAAATATTTTAGCCGAAACCGGTTTGGCTCAGTGGATAGAGTGTCGGCCTGCGGACTGAAGGGTCCCAGGTTCGATTCCGGTCAAGGGCGTGTACCTGGGTTGCGGGCACATCCCCAGTGGGAGATGTGCAGGAGGCGGCTGATCGATGTTTCTCTCTCATCGATGTTTCTAACTCTCTATCTCTCTCCCTTCCTCTCTGTAAAAAATCAATAAAATATATTTTAAAAAAATATTTTAAATTGCTTTTGATCTGCCAAGTGCTACTGGTTTTACCTTGGGCAAGTAATTTAACTTTTCAGCCAGTTTCCTCTGCTGTAAAATATGGATAATAACCTCCCTACCACAGGGCTGTGGTTAGAATTTGCTGAAATCATGCATGTAATATGGATGCATAGTGAATGGTCAGTGAATGTGAGCTGTTATTAGTATTCATTTTATTCTTTTTTAACTTTAAACTTTTCTTTTAATTATTTCAAACTATAATTCAGCCAGAAAATAAAATAGTAATTTTTCAGGGGGAAATCAACAGGATTGGCATGAAAAATCTTTAATGGAAATGAGTAAATTATGTTATATATATCATTTAAATTCTTTATTGTTTAAAGCGTTACCTATGTCTCCTTTTTCCCCCATTGACCTCTTTCTGGCCACTCCCACCCCCCTTAATTTTATTTGTATTAATTATTTAATTTAGTCCTTTCTTTATTCCATGCACTCATGCAACAGATAGTTATTGAGGGCTTACTATGTGCCAAACAGACTCAGTCTCTGCCATGACTCCAGGCTTCAGAAGGCTGCCTCTTGTCTTTCCTGTGGCTTCCACTTTCCCCTGTTATCTAGCCCTAGACCCAGGAATGCTGGTTCCTGGTGCGAACAGCACAGTCATATGTCATAGGGCTAACGCTGTGACACCAGATGCAGGACTTAGCACAGGGGCAGCCTTGAAGACCATTTGGCCCACGTGTCACTTTATCAAATGGCCTTCAGATGGGGTTATACTTCTATATCCCTATATTACACTCATCAGACAACTTTATAACTGGCATTCCAAAACCAGACCTCCCAGACGGTAAAGCCCTGTGAGTGTCTGTAATCTCGTGAATTCAGAATTATTCAACACTTCGCTTTAATGTGTGTGTGTGTGAAAAGCATTATTGTATTCAATTGACTATCCCTGTTTTACTTTTTAGCACAACAGCCTTAGGAAGAAAGACTGGCCCAGGGCTCTCTCTACCTCTGCAAGACCCTTCGAGGCCTTCACCCTGGAGCTGAAGGGGCACTGGAGCTCAAACTCCCGGAAGATGTTTGCTCAATCCCCTGTTCAGTTGCTTCCTTCCCAGCTGTCGTCCAGAACCTGGCACAGTGACCTCCAGACGGACCTACTGACCGCTCAACAGCCAGGCCTGCGAAGCACCTGCTGCACGGTGCCTGCTTCCCCCTCAGGAGTGGTCCTCAACCGCCACTCCAGAGCTCAACGGATACACCCAGCCCCACCCACAGGATATCCGAGAAAGCAAACGGGCCTTGGGGACGTGCCAACGGGGTGATGGGAACCCAGGCCTGTTAACCTCCTCGAGACCGGCAGGTGGGTTTGCTTTTGCTTTTGTTTGCTGTCATTTAATTTGCTTCTAAGAAGCAGCTTCCCTTTCTGCCTCAGAGGCACTGCTTACAAAAACAGGCTCGCTCTCAGTTGGTAGGAGTTGGGACTAAAAGCGCTGGAAGGGCACTCTGCAAGTTGTCCTTCCTTATAAGACATACATTATTTGTCTAATGACTCTCTTTTCCTGACTTCAGAGCACAAGTAACCGATTCTGTGTTGCCAGCCATCTCCTCATTTTGAGGCCCTCGCAGTCACTGGTGAGCACAGGGCTCCGGCTCAAGAAAGGACAGATAATTCACTAGATGTTTGCTTGCGCTCCACCCCCTCTGCCTTATCTCAATTAATTATTTCACCAACCCACAGAACAGGTTTTATAGATGAGAGAACTGTAGCTCATAGCTGCTAAGGGTAGGGTCTGTATTATAATTTGGCTGTCTGAAAAAAAAGATAAAACACGCCTTTCCCACCAGACCATTCAGCTTCTTGCTGACGAGTGCCAGTTAGACACCAGGCGCGTTTCCTTTCCTGGGCTTTGGCTCACTAAAGGGTTACACCCCCCAGTCGCCTCCCCTTGAGCTGGAAACTACAACTTCCAGCGGGCGGCATAGGTCTAGAATGCTTCCCCTTATTCCACCTGCTCACTCCATTTCACTTCCTGATTTGGTAAAGCCCGTCGTCGCCTTTACTAAGGCGTGCCCGTGCCCCCGTCCTCTCACCTTCGATGCAAAGCTGGAAAAAAAACCCCAAAACATTCTGAGACACTGACAAGGCTGGTGACCGTCAGAAGGACGGGTATTTACACTAGGCGACCTCGGATGATCACAAATGCATTCGCGTTTGCAGAAACGACGGCTGCACTCAAGCCCCCAGTCCCTCCGTCCCAGTCACTACTCACCGGCGGCGTTCCCCTCGGGCCCACCTATCAGGGTTCCTGAGAAATGACTGAGCCGCTGCGCGCAAGCCGGAGGCACAGCCCCCTGAGTCCCTGCCCCGACTCGGTGCTGCCCCGGGCCTGCGGTGTTTTGCTTTCAAAGACCGCAATTTGATTGGCTCGGCTGCCTGCCAGTCATAAGCTGGAAGGCACTTTGCTCAGACGAGTGGCTGTGAGAGAGGGTGGGCGGGACGTTGCCGAATTGGCTGCGCTGCCAGGCTTGGTTGAAGCGTAGGGGGTGAGCCTTGGGGAGGCCACAGCCTGCAGGAGCGTTGCTCTCACCTCGAGCCGGTCCCCCTAGCGGCCACGGGAAGGACCTTGGAACACACCCTGCTCCCCCTCTCCCGCTGTCTTGGGGAGCTCAGGTGACCACTCACCTGCACCTGCGGGACAGGTGGCAGCTCCCGGGCTTTGCTCCTGCCATTCCCCCAAACCCCACGCTCTCACCGCGATCCAAATCCTGCACATCCTTTAAGACCCGGTTTCCCCCCAAAGTTCCAGAGCCATAGATCTGCCTGCCCTCCGTAACACCCGTTGGGTGCATCATATGCCAACCCTCCAGCACGTCCGCAGCTCAGCAACACTTAAGGGCCTCCTGAGCACTGATGTTTCCCTGATGCACATCTGTGCGAATTAACACGAGCATAGAACTCACACCTTTTACGCATTTCGTTTCCGATCCTCACAACAAGCCTCTGAGTGAGACACTGCGCTCATCCCATGTTACCGATGCAGAAAGGACAGTTGGGCAGCGACCTCAGTGATGACCAAAGGGCCAGTTACGGTGGGGATGGCTCGGGAACGCCCGAGAGCGCGTCGGAAACTGGCTGATGTGGGAACGGCCCACGGGCGGCGGGCGCTGCCTCCGGAGGGAAGGGCCGGGACAACATAGGGTAAGATGTTGGATTTCATCCTAAGTTTAAAGGGACGCCGGGGGCGGGTCCTAAGCAGGGGGCCGACAAGGTGACTGACTGTGACTGCTCCGAAGCGTGGAGAGAGGGGCTCGTGGAACCCGAGGCGGGTGCCTTCGTACAATCGCCCATATCAATCTCTTTTTCTTTTGTTATTGTCAACAGGGCTTGGGTGATAGTTCTCTTAGGTTTATTCCTTGAAGTAGGATTTCTGGGTGGACAAGATTGTGAGACTTTTGTCCTATCACAAGAGTTCTGAGGGGTCGCCGAGGTAAGCCGCCATTGGGTTTCCCCACGGGTCCTTCGGGAGGTAGGTAGGATGAAGCCTAAAATTCTGGCAGCTTCCCTGCAGTTTTTAAAGCGTCTCTAACGATTGGCCAATGACTTATCACTCTAAAGAAACAGAGGACACCATTGGCTAGAGTTCCTCACGTGGTCTCCAGACTGTTAGGCCGTGGTTGCCATGGAGACGGAGAAGGTTGGGCCCGGCCAGACTCAGGCCAGGGGGAACCGATGAGGTAGGAGGCAGGTCCTGTTGGGGCCCTGGTCCCAGGGTCCTGGGAGGTGGGCCTGGCGCACCCATGGGACACCCCCCGAGACCCCGCCCTGCTGGGTACCAGGTGATGCCCTGAGGGCGGGAAGAAACCACCGTTGGAGGTAACCGCTCCCTGGATTGTGCCCGCAGAGTCCCCACCTGCAACATGGTGATTGCACCCAGGGCATGCCTGCCCCACGGAGCCTCCTTTCGGGGCCTGGGCAGCTGACTCCCCGCCTCAGCCCTGCGAGCGTGCAGACGTTTGGGGCTGCGGGGCCTGGCAGCTGGTGGGCGGCGGAGAGCAGAATTCTCACCCCAGCTCCTCTGGCCTCCCTCTGCCAACATCTTTCCTGCTCCGAGCCCCACGCCGGCCACCTGTGAAAAGAAAGGGTGGGATTGGAATCTAGTGGTCAGAGCCGGCTGTGACAGCTTTTGACACGTTTTCTCAGCTTATGAAAAATGTCAAGTGGGTTATTTACCTGCGGGTGCTTTGAAAAATGTAAAAAAATAAGACACGCCGTAGCATTATAACTGAATGGATAAAATCTCACACAGTGGAAACTATTCATGCAAATCCCATAAGCAGTATACATGGTTTCGCATATATTGATATACCCTATACAGTAGCATATATGTACATATAAATGCTTAAGATATGTGATAATACTATAACATAAATGATAAAGGTTTTTTAAAACATAGAGATGGCACAATGAAAACATGCCTATCGTAATCATGTGAGGTAAATCTTTATAGAATGCAGCTCTTGAAGGAAAGAGTCGTATTATGAGGACATCTATATACATTATTGCTAACATGTGTTTACCCCTAGGAAACACATTCACTGATTCATTCCACAAATATTTATTGAGTAACTACTATGTGCCAGGAAACAGACTGGGGATTCCATGATGAATATTCTATTGGGGAAGATCATAAAGAAATACACACAAAATAGGATGTTGGGGAGAGAAAAATGCCATGAGAAAAATAAGGCAGGTTCCTGGGCTAATGAAAGGTGGGGTGATGCTTCTTGGGAGTGGTCCAGGGAGTCACCCCTAAGGGCTGAGCAGAGATGCAGATGAATCTGGTGACAGGACCAGGAGATGATGCCCGCTGTAGTGAGGGGAGCAATCCCTGGCAACAAGGAGACATTGCAGAGGCTGGAGAGGTCCCTGTGGGGAAGAGGATTCGTTTGTAGGTAGTGGGATATGACAAATGGGTACATTTAGACATACATATGAAATGTAACTCCCCACCCCCAAAACACCTATTATTAAGTTCACTAGACCTTTCTGTAGTGTCAAATATTTTTTGGCAGGCTGTAGGTCTTTTTGTGCCCAGGTGGCCATCTTCAGTTACTTGAAGAACAGTCATATAGAACAGTGGCTTTCAAACTTTTTGACTGTGACCCATGGTCAGAAATGCAGCACACATAGGAACCTTAACAAAAGACTACAGGCTGTGGCAGTGATGGCGAACCTATGACACGCGTGTGTCAGAGGTGACATGCGAACTCATTTTTTTGGTTGATTTTTCTTTGTTAAATGGCATTCAAATATATAAAATAAATATCAAAAATATAAGTCTTTGTTTTACTATGGTTGCAAAGATCAAAAAATTTCTATATGTGACACGGCACCAGAGTTAAGTTAGGGTTTTTCAAAATGCTGACACGCCGAGCTCAAAAGGTTCGCCGTCACTGGGCTATGGCCTGCACTTTGAAAATCACTATCACCAGTATGGAAGAGAAATGAGACTTATTCTGAGTCCATTTCAAGGGCTAGAATTGGGATGACTGGAGAGAGAGAAAGGGGGGGGGGGCGGTCAGCTTGATACAGATAGGGACTTTCTAGCAGTTAGAATTACCCAACAGTGAACTACCTCAAGAATTTTCAAACTGAGCTCTAGGGAACCTCAGCATTCTGTGACAACTTGAGACAGCCTCAAAGATTAAGGAAATGAAAAGGTAAACCTCAGACTGAGAGCAGATAATTCTAAAACTTATATATGATAAGGGGCTTGTATCCAACATACATTAAGAACATTTACAACTCAACAACAAGATAACCCAATTGTTTAAAAAGGGATGTGAACAGGCACTTTACCAAAGAAGGTAAAGAAATGACAAATAAGCACATGAAAATGTACAAATTAAAGTGACAACGAGATACCACTGTAGGGCCATGAGAATGGCTAAAACTATAAGATTTACCACACAAGTGTTGGTGAGGATGGGTAACAACTGGAACAGACTCCGATACATGCAACACCATGGGAGAATCTCAAAAGCATTGTGGGAAATGAAAAAAGACAGGCTACAAAACAGCACAGACCGTATGATAACACATATATGGCATTCTAGAAAAGGCAGCCATTGTGACAGAAAGCAGAGCAGTGGCTGCCAGACACCAGGCTTGAGAGGGTGTTGACTGCAAAGAAACACAGAAAACTTTTTGGGCTCATGGATATATTTATATCTTTAAAACTAGAGGCCCAGTGCACAAAATTCATGCACAGGTAGGGTCCCGAGAGGCTGCCGACTGCCGGCCGGGGCCTTCCTTCATTCCATGCCGCCCCCTGGTGGTCAGCACATGTCATAGTGAGCAATCGACTTCCCAGCTGGTCGAACTCCCGAGGGAACACTTTGCACATTAGGCTTTTATATATATAGATTGCAGTGGTAGTTCACATAATTGTAAACGTGTCAAAATTTAGAATTGTATACATAGTGACAACGTAGTAACTCCTGAATTATAGTGTATGTAAATGATCTCATGATAAATTTATAAAATTCAAGCCTTTGTTAGTTCTGGAAGCAACATCAACTGTGAATACAGGGCTCCTGCTACAGGCCGTGAGTGCAGTGTGCTTGCGACCTGAGGTCATAGATCCTGGTAAACCTCAGCCTCTACATGTTTCTCAGCCTGTCCTGCCGAGAGAATAGAACTCAATCCATGTAATTAACAGAAATGTGACATGATCCCTACAAATGCTGTATTTTGCTGTTTCAGGTGCTTGGAAGAACCGTAGTCAAGTTTTTCACCAAACAAATGAAACATATCACAGAACTGTGCTAAGATGGCCACTTCGGCACAAAGAGACCTGCAGCCTGCCAGAACATACCTGAAACTCCAGAAAGGTCTGGCGAACTTGATAATGGATGTCTTTGGGGGTGGGGCCTTACAGTTTATAATTATGTCGAAATGTACCCATTTATACTCATAATTATGTTGTATGTCTGCCCACATGTTTACCATTTCCAGAGCTCTTCCTTCCTCTCTGTAGATACAGATTTCCAACTGGTGTCATTTCTCTTCTGCCTGTAGGACTCCCTTTAACATTCCATATTATTCCAGTTTGCTGCTGATGAACTCTTCCCGTTTTCGTATATATTTAAGTCTTTATTTCACTTTTGTTTTTGAAAGGTGTTTTTCTGGGTGCAGGATTTTAGGGTGGCGGTTTTCTTTTCCTTCTCTTACCGTCAAGGTTTTGTTTCTAACAGCAGTCTGCTGTCTCTGTTCTCTTTGTATGTAATGCCTTTTTCCCCCTCTGCCTGATTTAAAATTTTTCTCTTTATCACTTTGTTAAAGCAGTTTGATTATTTTACGTGCCACGGTGTGATTTTATTCATGTTTCATATGCTGAGGTTTTTATTTTCTTGGATCTGGGGGCCTATAGTTTTTATCTGATATGGAAATTTTTCATCTTTTTCTCGAAATAATTTTCTTTTCTCTCTCTCCCCACATCTCTTCTTTGGAGAGTCCAATTACATTTATATGAACTTCCTGGAAGTTGTCACATAGCTCACTGATACTCTGTATTTTTAATCCTTTTTCTCTTTGTGTTGTATTTTGGATAGTTTCTATTTCTATGTCTTCAAGTTTCCTAGTCTTTCTCCTCCCTCCCCCCTGCCCCCACATCCCACAGTGCCTAGTTTACTGTTAATCTCGTGTGTGTGTGTGTGTGTGTGTGTGTGTGTGTGTGTGTTCTCATGGAGCAGCGGTTCTCAACCTGTGGGTCGCGACCCCTTTGGGGGTCGAACGACCCTTTCACAGGGGTCACCTAAGACCATCGGAAAACACATATATAATTACATATTGTTTTTGTGATTAATCACTATGCTTTAATTATGTTCAATTTGTAACAATGAAAATACATCCTGCATATCAGATACTTACATTACGATTCATAACAGTAGCAAAATGACAGTTTATGAAGTAGCAACAAAAATAATTTTATGGTTGGGGGTCACCACAACATGAGGAACTGTATGAAAGGGTCGCGGCATTGGGAAGGTTGAGAACCACTGTCACAGAGGGTTGCTTTGATACACACCATTCTACCACAGCCGGAAGCCAAAGTGTTTGATCTCCTTTTTAGTCAGGGAGAAACCTTTCCTTCCTCCAGGGGAATGTCCATCCTTTTCCTTTTTTTTTTTAAATGCCCCCCCCACCCCGCCCCTTCCTTCGCTGCCTCCTCTGCAAACTCAGTTATTCTAATGACTTAGGCTTTTAGAATCAAAAGCTAGGAAGCCTTGGGTCTGCTGCTTTCTGATTTGCTCTCTAGCTCCCTTAAAGAAAAAATACGTAACCATCCATCTACTTGAATGGGGGAGGGAGGGAGATGGGAGGAGAAGAATAAATCTACCACCATATGTGGGTATTGCCAGATGTTTTCTAGCTGAACATATGCAGTGTTCTGCTTCTTTTACTTGCTTCATCTTCAACCCAGACGAATCAGGCTCGATTGCCCCCTCCCCATCATTTCATTCATTGTTTACTGAGTCTTAACGGTGAGCCAGGCCCAGGAAGAGGGAGCACAGCTTAGAGTTGAAGAGCCTGAGCTCATCAGACAAACTGCTCGAACCTCAGGTGTTGCACTAAGTGTTGCTGTGACTTGCGTGAGTAACGTAGTCTCTCTGAGCCTCACTTTCCTCATCTGTAAAGCTTGTTAGTAATAGTACTTCCTGGGGGGGCCCTGTTGGCATTGGGCTTTCCTCTCTGAAAAATAGTTTTGTTTTTTCAAAAGTTTGGAGGCTAAGAAATGGGCCTTGAAGACAGTTTTCATGCAATCTCGCCCCCGCCCTTCTTTCTTTCTCTTGGCTGTTCTCCCTTTTCAGTTCCCCTCGGAGGGTGAGGGCTCTGATGTTGAGATGACTGGGCTCACTGATGTGGACGTGCAGCAGTCAGGGTGGACACTCCTCCCGCCCCCCTAATTTGGCTTGGATGTCAAGACCGATGGTGCCACACACACCCATCAAGGGGCTGTGGAAAGGTTTAACACTCACATAATGAGGCTCTCGGGGGGAGAGCAGGGCAGGCTTCCTAATCTGGCCCCACAGTGGCTTAGAGCAGGGGAAGGAGTCTGACCTGGGTTTTATTGTGGGGGGGCGGTGGGGCTGCAGTGAGGGCTGGAATGAGGGGCTGCCTTCTAGCCGGTGCCAAGGAGGGAGCACCTGGGCCTTCTCATCAGCTTGCTGGGACCGGGGGCCGAAAAGGAAGAGGGAGGGAGGGAAGGAGGGGTGAGGCTAAAAGCTGTCAGCAGCCAAACACTACAGTCCATTTCTATTCTACTCACTGGACAGAGTTTGTCATCAGTGGGTGTGCGGACGGATGCTGCCCGTGGGATCAGTATCGTGGCCATTCTCCCACGTGCGGGGCGTGGGAGGAGGGAAAGTGGGATTTCTCATATCGTTTATACATCGTGACTCAGGTGTGTAAAATTTTAACCTGATTTCCTTTAAGTGATGCCTTTTTAACCCCCATCTGCTCAAAGCCGAGAGCTGAATGTACCCTGTGCCCTGGGAAGCGAGAGAGCCCGGCTCCGGGACCTCCCTGCCTCTCTGGATCTTCACGGCGCTTTGCCGATGTGCGACTCTGGGCTGGGGACGCGTGATGGTTTCGTGTCCTCCTTCCCTGCCAGCTCTTCCCTCTTCCCTGGGACAATTCATTGCCCCCATGTTACCAAGTCTCTCTAGTTCAGTGGTTCTCAACCTTGGCTGCACATTAGAATCACCTGGGAATCTTTTTAAAATCCTGATTTCTGGGCCTCATGAGACCCACTGCTCTAGTTTAAGAGCTGGAGGGGACGTCCCAATAAGTTACCAAGAGGGAAAGAAAGTAAAGTGGGGAACATTTTTTGTAAAAATGTATTTTTATTGATTTCAGAGGGGAAGGATGAGGGAAAGAGAGAGAGAAACATCAATGATGAGAGAGAATCATTGATTGGCCGCCTCCTGCACAGCCCACACTCGGGATCAAGCCCACAACCAGGGCATGTCCTGACCCAGAATTGAATGGGACCTCCTGGTTCGTAGGTCAACGCTCAACCACTAAACCACTCCGGCCGGGCAAGTGAGGAATATTTTTTTAAAAATCCAGCTTCATGTTTATCTCTTGTCCAAAGGCAAGTTTCTCTTCTATTCCATTTTAGATAAAACGTTAATATACAGCTCTGTGTTTTCTGCATTTGCCAGTTCTTTGCCCTGTGCTAATTTTTGTTTTATTTTTGTTGTTTAGGTTTTACCGCTGCATATCCGACACAATCCTCCATTCCTTACAAATCTCACTGGGCAAAAAATCCAGAACCAGAAAAGAAAGGATTTAATAGCCAAACCAAGAGATTTGATCAGAAAACGGTAATGGCATTCATTGTCTTAGAGATTCTTTACTTTTTAGTCTGGATTTTAGCCTCAAGGGACGGGCAGGCGAGTCTGGCTGGTGCGTCTCTCCCTGTGACCAGTAGAGGGCGGTGCTATCCAAGGAGCCACAGCAGCCTCTCCAGCTGTGCTCTTGATGGTAAGAATCAGCTGAAACAGACTCATGGACAGGCAGAGCCCACCGGTTGGTGGTCGCCAGAGGGCAGGGGGGTTGGGGACTGGGTGAATGAAAGAGGCGACGAAGGGATTAAGAAGTGCAAATTGGCATAGTCCCCAGGATGTAAAGCTCAAGATAGAGAATATAGTCAATAATATTGCGATAACTTTGTATGGTGCCAAGTGAGCGCAAGAAATATCAGGGCAGAGGGCACTTTGTAAAGCACATGACTGTCTGATCACTATGCTGTGCACCTGAAACCAATACAAAATAATATTGTAAGTAAAAAATGTTAAGACCTTAAAAAAAAAAAGAATGAGCTGGAAAGATATTAAATCCAGGGAAAAACAACATGTCCAGATGGTGCTACACTGAACCCAAACATTTTAATAAGAAATGTATTTCAAAAATTATTATAGAAATAGAACATTAAAAATCCCAGGGATGTAAGTAAAAGGTAAAAATCTTTTCCTCTTTCTCCCCCAGCCTCCTTAAAACATGAAAGGGAATAACGAGACTTTCTTTGAATAACAAAAAGGGAAAACAAGTCTAATAAATTTTAAATGACCTTTGTGATGAGGGCCCCCTCATTTTTAATGCTTCTTTTAACAACGTGTTACTGCTGCTCCTGTGTTTCCCTCATTCTCACTCTCTCCCCCAAATATCTGGGTCTCTTTTCCTCTTTGATCTGGGAAGCTCTGCTTGGCACCGAACTAGGGATTTCACCTGCTAAAGGCTCGGGGATCTGACCGGCTCCTCTCTCACCAGCAGGGGGCTCAGACGACTCGCAAACATTTTCAGTTTTCTTTAAAATCTTCATCCCTGCATTCATTTAACCAAGACTTTTAGAATAACATTCTTGGGGAGAATCATCATCTCAGTTACCTTTTGCTGCATTCTAAAAATGTTTCTCATCTTACCACCTTGCCAGGATGGTGGGGAGGGAGTGAGACCTGGCTTCTGAGTGAAGGCAGGTGAGTCAGGAAGGAGTTGAGGGGCTTGGCAAGCCCCTGTGGCCCTTGCCTGTTCTTCTTTGTAAACCAGAATGCCCAACTAGAGAACATTTCAGTTCCTTTCACTTCTGGTTTTTTAGGATCCTAAGAAAGCAAATAATAAAGAATGTAGTATACACACACACACTTATTTGTAATTACTTGCAGTTTTCCCCCAAAGATGATAAATAAGATACTTGCTTAGGAGTTTTCTCTCTTCTCTTTCTAGTTTCTCTGTCTACGATTTAGCTGTCCATCTGTCTCTTTTTTTTGCCTGGTTTCCCATTTGTCAGTTTACAAGAATATATTAGTAAGACATTTGCATCCAGCCTCCAATAAAAATAATAGCAGCCACCATTCACTGATCTCTCCTACGGGTGAAATCATTTTTCGAACACATCTCTAATCCTCAGAACAATGCTAAAGGGAAGGGTTTATTATCTTAACCGAAGAGGAAACCGAGGCTTAGGGACGTTCAATGACCCGCCCAAGGTCAGAGCGCGCAGGGTTTGGCACACAAGAGGCCCTGCATAAATATTTGCTGAATCCATGTTGAAAGAATTAGACCTCAAGCCCAGGTCTAGCTCACGCCAAAGCCTCATGCTCTTGCCACACACGGCACCACGCCTCCCTTTGTGGCCTGCAAAGCCATACATTTGATCTCTGAGAGTCAGAGAGCATGTTTCTGAAAAGGGCTTAGCAAAACAGAGCGAGCTCCGGCCACGGGGAAGATGTCAAGTAATGGGTGCAAGGCTCCATGCTCCGTGACCTAGTGCCGATGACGCAGATACAGGAATGGGGTGGGCTGGCTTTTAAAGTCAGGATCTTACATTACTGTTGGCTTTCAGAAAATTTTCTGCTCAAGGAACCAAGATGACAGCCAGAGCTATAGGCAGCGTCAAGTAGAGAGAGGAATCGCTCAGAAATTTGACTCAGACTTTCCAAGGGTGGTCGCATTGGTTTGACGACGTGAAAACTTCCACCTACTGTTTGAAAGCATTTGGTAACTGAGTGTGGACCTTTGTGGAAAGGGCGAGGAATCCCTAAGTCAGGTCCCCGTGTTCTGCTCGGTTACTAGCTGTGGGCCTCGAGTTCCTTGACTTTTCTGGGCTTCAGTTTTTTTTTCATCTGAAACATAACATTTGGATTATATAATTGCATTAGGCTCTTCAAGCTATAAAAACAGACCAAGAAGTCTGATTCCATGCCCATTGTTCTCATTTGTCCTGAGGGAAGTGGGCATTGAGAAGTTAAGGATCTCATGTAGCATCACCCAATAATTTAGTGAGGCAATCCGAATTAAAAACAGATTTTAAAACCCCAGTGTCTCACCGCCCTTCTTCAAACATTCCTCGCACACGCCCTGTGCCTGATCTCATAACTTGGTTGTGGCCTCGAATGAATTCTGTGACCCACTTAGCACATCTCACACGGTGCCCTTTGGAACGTGCGCGCACCTAATCGTCTCACTTGGTCAGAAACGCCAAGGCCTCGTTGCCCGGCTCCCATTCCCCTAAGAATCTGACTGCCGGGTGCTAGGAACCCTTCCCAGAGCTCGGTCCTGGACCGGCAGTGCTGCTGCTAGGAACGAGGCCTGCTTCTCCGAACTCGGACAGCTGTTTGCAGATGTGCTGGGACTCTCGTGCATGCGAGGCATGCCTGGTCTGGGGCCGGGCATAGCCCAGTGGCTCGATGGGCATTTTCTCCCCCCACCTCCTCTGTCTGTCCCCGTTTCACCCTGGACTGTGGTTACTGTTTGCCAAGCTGTGTAACACTAGACACTCACTCACTGTCTCTGCATCTTCGTTTCCTCATCTTCAAACTCAGGATGTGACCATAGGTGGGCCTTTCCAGGGATCACAGTTCTGTGGTTCTACACCCGATGGATCCCTCCAGGCGCAAATAAATGAAGAGTGGTAGGGCTCGGGCACCACGGGCTCCGGACGGGCACAATTTAACAGCACATGTTACTTTCAGACACGGCCTGACAGCAAACCTACCCTCTCAGGTGGTAAGCAGGCCAGTGTTTAATTTGTGGCGAAGTTAACGCTGTTCACTTATTAACCTGAGAAGGCACTGGGCCAGGGGTACTTTACACAGCAGGGATGCTTCAATGAAAAGAAGCTCCGTGTGCATGGACGCCCACGGTCAAGGGCATAATTGCCCCCAAGGGTGCAGTCAGCTGCATGTTGGAACCCTCTGCCCGACCCTCCTGCTCTGGAAGCCGGGCTTCTCTGAGCGCCCCTCAGTCACAGCGCCCCTCCCCGCGGGTCTGCAGGGCCCAGGCCCGGAGATAGCAGCACTGGCTGGCACTGACAGGGTGCCAGGCGCCCCTCGAAGACCTTGGCATTCATCAATCCACTTAATCCCCACAATAGCCTGTGAGCCAAGTCCCATCATTATTCCCACTGTTCAGATAACGACCCTGAGACACAGAGAGGGGTAAGGAACGTGCAGCCAGGGTCAGGCCGAGCGAGGACAAACCCAGGCAGCAGCTCCTGGTTCCCAGACACCGTACCCCAGCCTCTCCCCTGGGCGCAGGCAAGCACGCCCTCCTCTGGACGCCCAGAGCCAGTCGTAGGCCCCTGGCCTCCTCCCCTGGGCCTGGCGGGGATGGGTGTGCACCTCTTCTCTCCGCCTGCCTGGCAACTGCTGGGGTGGCAGCCATCTCTGTCCTTCCCAGACCCGGGGCCCTCGAGAGTGGATTGAATGAAGGACCCCCATTCATGCGCCTGCATTTCCCACGAGTCACAGGCTCACGTCCCACCCACTTCGCCGGGTCTCCTTCCCACTCCTGGGCCTTGTGCGCTGCTTGCTGGTTGTGCCTGTAACCTCGCACCTTAGCCCGGGCCCAGGAGGTTTCAGTATATGTTTGTGGGATTGACGTTTTGCCCACGTTCCACTCGGGGTTTCAAGGGACTGCTAACGGGCTGATGCCAGACCTAAGGACATGAAGGAGCATGGTGTTCTCAGAGACGATGAGAATGTGCGTCCACTTCTCTGGTCTGTTTCCAGCGTAGCCAGGCCAGCGATGGGCAGAGACCTGGTCCCTGTTTCCATCACAGGTGACCAGTGTCCCACCTGCCCTCCCCCTCCCCCACCCAACACACACACACCTGCCCTTCACCTGGTGACGAGACACACTCCCCTCAAGAGAACTCGCCCTGGTTTTCCTGAGTGGGTGCTCCCTTCGGGCTCTCAGGGCTCTTTCATTCATGAGGTCCTCCCCGGTTCTGAGCGGGGAAAAGTGGCATTTTCTTGTTTGAAATGCGCTGGCTGCTGCTCCCTTTCCTCCTGTGATTAGAGGGGTGGAAACTTTGATGGCACGTGTAAGTGTATGGAGCGGGGGGTGGGGGGGACACGGGAGGGGAGGAAACAGGAGGGAGGAAGGCATCTTATAAGGGGCAAATCTCAGTCGTAGACACTTTGAACGGAAGGGTTCAGTGGATGGACGTGTTGTCCGAGACCCTAAGACTAGAGGCTTTTGTGAAAGGAACTGGTTCCCTCGGGAACCCCAAATTCTTGTGTGGCTTTGCCACTGGATTAGCCACAGGACAGGGCTCTGTTTCCACCCCAGGCATGTCCTCCTCCTGTTGTGTGCCGCTCGCCATTGGCAAACTCCTGGTTTCATTCATCGTGTGCCCTCCCCAGACAGCAGGAGCCGCCCCAGAACCGACAAAAGCGGGGGGGGGGGGGCATCTTAAAGAGTCAGAGGCAGTTCCGAGCGGCCTTTAGCCAGGGATCCCACAGACCACATTTTCCACACCGGGAAACGGTTCGGCAGACATGGATTTGACAAACCTAAACTTATCAGCTGGACAGGATCTGTGAAGCCAGGACCAGCAAATCCAGGCTGTGTGCAGGTGTCTGGCTCCAGGCTGTGGGACATTAGGCCTCCATGACCTCGGAAGCTCTCTGGGGTGAGGAGGTAAATGCCTGCCCCCCCCTCACCCCCCCAAACCTGACCTAAAGTCAAGTGAATGTGGGTCTGTGTCCCGCCCTTGGCACATGCAGAGGCTGCCCATTTGGGACTTTAATCCTTCAAATGGGCTCTCCAAGTGCATTTCGACCAGATGTCACCCAGGGGTGTATTCGGTGGGGGTTGGGAACCCATCAGCCTGTCATCCGTGCTCAGTCCCCCTCTGCTCAGAACCCCCTCCTGGTTCCTTGACCCTGTCATGGGCTGTGCAGAGGGTGGTGATGACGATGACAATGGCTGCACAGGCGGCAGGGCTGTCACCTCTCCACATGCTCACTCTGATTGTCACACTGGGAGGCGGGCACAGGAGAGACAGGAACAGCCCCTGGCACTGTGCTCCCAGCAGGACACTCAGCAGGCCGTCAGCATTGCTCAGAGGAAGAGTTCTCCCTGCTCTCTCCCCACCCACTTTTGTTTTGTTTGCTTGTTTGGTTTTATCCTCTGGGGTAATCTTGGCCAAGAAACCCGGGGGTGGCTAAGTTCACCCCAGTGGCAAGTTGAATTCCTGCTCTCTGTGTTGTGCTCAGAGAGGCCTCGACTCATCAAAGTCACGCAACGTTAGTCACACGAGCTGTCATCCCAGAGGTGAAAGGTGGATTTCTGTTGCCCTCCCAGCGAGCCGCCCACCACCTCCAGCAGTTGCAGGAGAAGGCGTGAATTCTCTGCAGCCGGACGTTCCCCTTCAGGGAGCTTCATGGGTGCCACACGAAGGTAGCAGGTGGTGTGCTGGTAAACCCGCTCTCCCCTCCACCTAGAAAAGCTCTGATGTATAGCATTTGCCCCTTTCTGTGGTGTAAATACTCCCATTTCTGAATTGTTAACAGTCGCTCTCCCAGGCCGCCACTGGCCAGCTCCAGCATACCGCTGCCTGGAGGGCTCATCTTGGACATTCACTGAGAGCAAACAGGCTACACTTTCCCCTCCAGGCTAAGGGGACACTCCTGTTCCCGTTGACCTGGATCCAAACATGATTAAGGTCCAGGAGGGGTGGCCAGATCTAGCAAATAAAAGTATAGGATTCCTAGTTAATTTAGAATTTCCAATAAATAACAACTATTTTAATACAAGTATGTCTCAAATAGTGCATGGGACATACTTCTACTAAAATAGCTTTGTTGTTTACCTGAAATGCAGATTTAACTGGGCAGCCTTGCAGGTCTGGTGTTTTCTCTGGCAACCCCAGCTCCTCAGACACACACAGGTGCCCAGGAAGTTCCTGTGGGCTGATGGCCGTGTTGAGAGCGTGGCCGTAGACGGGACGTAGAAGCGTGTGTCTTCACTGTTCACCCTTTAAACCTAGAAGAGTCACAGGCACGTTTCCCGCTCAGCTTTCCCTTGGTTCGGGGACTTTGAAAGCTAAAAGGCACAGGAAGAGATTTAGCCCAACGTCTTTGATGTACAAATGAGGAATTTACTGGTAGGTTTAGGGAGGCGGCTGGCTCCTAGTGGGAGCACTGGGAACAAGAATTCCTGATTCATAATCCAGTGGCGTTTTTTTTTCTTTATCCTACACACTTAGTGGTGAAGAGTAGACTCTGTCCTCAGACTGCCTGGGTTCAGATTCTGGCCCTGACAGTCCTGGCTCTGTGACCTTGGCCCTGTCCTCTCATCTTTCAAACGTGAAAAGCTCAGAACAGTGGCCGGCACAGTGCCCACTCAACAAATAAATGCTGGCCCTGTGCACAGCCCCCTAGAAAAGCTCTTCCACCCTCGTGGTGTTGCTCTGTGGTTAGCACCTCAGGCTGCGCCCCAAAGGGTAGCAGATTTGATTCCTGGTCAAGGGCATGTACTTCAGTTGCAGGCTTGATCCCCAGCCCCAATCGGTGCACGTGTGGGAGACAACCAATCTATGTTTCTCTGTCTCTCTCCCCCTTCCACTCTCTCTAAAAAAAAGAAAAAAAATCAATGGAAAAATATCCTTGGGTGGGATTTACAAAAAGAAACAGCTCTCCCTTGTTTCCCTGCAGCCCCTCGATCTGCGCCCACAGGCCAGGCTTCTCCTGACCGTGGCCCGGGGTGCTCGTGCACCTGGTTGAGCTGCATCTCTCGTGGCCAGCCTCACTCTCCCTGGCAGTCAGCCCCTCCCGTCCACCAGCGATCGTCACCTCCTCCAAAGCAGGAATCAGCGCCCTGGCCCCCACCCGCAAGGCTCAAAGGAGCCTCTGCATTTGAAATCCGGCCCAGAAGGACCTGTTCGTAGCACTGGTGACCCCGCCTTTACATTAAACCATAATCACGCACTGCTCTTCAAGGCCCCGATGGTACCGCCAGCTTTCTTTCTGCCCCAAGGAAGGCGGTAGGGATGGTGGAGACAGATGAACCTGGGGCAGAGGCTGGAGAGAGCTGGCTCTGGAGCCATCATTGCGTAGCTGTGGGCTCAGTGTCTCTGGGCCTCACTTTCCTTAAAAGGGACCGGATAATACCCCACTGCCAAGGACTGGTGTGCACCATACGCTTAGCCCCAGATTCAGGTACTGCCACTCACAGCGGTGGGACCTCGGGCAAATTCATCTCCACCTGCCTCAGGGTCTCCATCCTCTAAACCAGGGCAGGACTCCCTCCCGCGCTGGGGGAGTAAACGAGACAGCCTTTGAGAAGCTCCTGGCACCGAGTAGGCACCCAGGAAGGCATCCTTATCATTTCATGCCACTTGCTCGGCCAGCTTCTGTCAGCATATACTTCCCCTGGTAACCAGCACGGGAAGCGAGAAGAAAGCCCAGTTAGCAGCTGCAGCAGAAATAGGCTTAGAAATCAAACTCTTGCGCACTCCTCTCTACCATACCTGCATCATTTAGCACAGCGGTTCTCAACCTGTGGGTCGCGACCCCTTTGGCGGTCAAACGACCCTTTCACAGGGGTCGCCTAAGACCATCCTGCATATCAGATATTTACATGACGCTTCATAACAGTAGCAACATTACAGTTATGAAGTAGCCATGAAAATAATTTTATGGTTGGGGGTCACAACATGAGGAACTGTATTTAAAGGGCCAGAAGGTTGAGAACCACTGATTTAGCACCTGAGCCCCATGCACCTGAGAGTTCGAAACGGTCTCATTTGGGATGAAGGTTGTTTTTGTTTCATTTTGCTTTATAAACAGAAACACGCCCTGATTTCTCTGCTGAAAGGCTGAGGAGGAAGCTGAGTCAGGTGGGGTGTGGTTCCCATGCAATCGGCCACCCTGCCCTCCCCGTGGGCTTGGCTTACCCAATCCATGGACACTGGTTTGCACATCAGCCATACTTACTATCCCATGTTAGGCCCATTTCTCGAACGGCGTGAAAACCAGCAGCGTTCTTCCGCAATAGTGAGTGGGAAAAGCAAGGGCTTTGGGGGTCCCAGGCCTGGGCTGGCATTCCAGCCCCAGCACTTGGTAACAGACGGTGACTGGGCAGGTTAGGAGGTGGCACAGCCGGGCTGTCATCCGTGCAGTGGCGGTGGGGCCTGTCCCGGCGGGTTATGGGGAGGCTGAGCGTCCATGGGTGTGACGCTTGTGGAAAAGCCCAGTGGAACGGAATCTGTCCCGGTGACGCCGCGTGCTCTTCCCTTTCAGGATAACATCCCGGGTCCTGGGTCCTACAACGTCACCCACCAATCTCCAGTGTTCAACAGCGTCTCGCTGTCCACGAGAGGGACGTGCGCCTTTCCCTCGAGGGTAAGAGCCCCTTCTCCTGGGCATGAGCATTGACTGATCCGTCATTTCCTTCACTCGTTGCATAATCATGTATTGGACATCCGGTCCCTTCTCTCCAAAGGCCCGTGGTTCTAATTAGGAGAGTAACTGCCTCCTCAAAGTTCGTGCAGGTAAATTGGAGTCTGTGCCATTAAACCCCCCCTCTCCCCCATTGCTACACATTTCCAGAATGGAGAGAGAAGCTAGAGCAGTGGTCGGCAAACTCATTAATCAACAGAGCCAAATATCAACAGTACAACGACTGAAATTTCTTTTGAGAGCCAAATTTTTTTAAACTTAAACTATATAGGTAGGTACATTGTTATTAACTTAATTAGGGTACTCCTAAGGCTTAGGAAGAGCCACACTCAAGGGACCAAAGAGCCGCATGTGGCTCGCGGGCCACAGTTTGCTGACCACGGAGCTAGAGGAATAATATTCAGAGCCTCATCACCCAAAACCAATTTTGTCATCCTGGAGTAGACTAAGCAAATGTCTTCCTGAGATTTCTAGGCACACCAGGAAAAAATTATTCTACATCTCGCCCCAATACGCTGTTTTACACTGCGTAGTCTAATTGAGTTATTGACATCATTGAGGAAGCTGATGGGGCCAAAGTGAGAGCAGGCAGTGGGCCTGGAATTTAGCAGCCTTCCTCCCCTCCCTCTTTCTCTTCTTCGTAAGATGTGGCTCTTGATCTTGGTGGAGGGCTCTGACAGTCAAATATATAGGGTGTCTCCCAAAAATGTATACCCAGACATTTTTCGATAGCTCAATGGATGTTTCTTCTTTTCAGATTTAACCCATTGGAATTAATAATTATTCAAAGTGTGTATATATTTTTGGGGACACCCTGTATATGAAGTGCAAATGTCCCTGACCAGGCTTGGGTGAAGATAATTTTTAGTTGAATATTTCTAAATTGGCAAGAAAAAAAAAATAGATGGAGCAAGGGCAAAGGGTCAAACTAGGGTAAGGCTGAGGTAAGAAAGTAAAAAAGAAAGCAAACCCAAACTCTAGTATTAACAAAACACACATGCCGTCTGTCCCTTTAAAAGTGATAATAATCTCCTGCAAAAATGTATTACGATGCCTGACATTGGAATTGATTTTTAAAAGAATCGCACAAAGAGACCATTTAAGACAACCTGAATACGGCCGCTTATTGGAATTCAAGTTGGCAGAGTGGAATCCTCAAGGAGCGACCCGGCTGCGGCACGCTCTCCCCACCAGCAAAGAGGGGAGGTCGCACCTGCCTCCCGAGAGTTCACGGAACAGCCACGCCTCTACCTTGCTTTCTGCCGCCAGCCCTGCGAGTAAGGGAGACTCAAAAGCAATCGGCAAAAGAAGCGCTCGTCTCACACTGCCCTGGCACAGGCGGCGAGACCTAAAACCTCATCCTGACTCAGCTGTGGGTTCCCGAGGTGACCTCGGGCACGCCACCCTCCTGTGCTCCCGCTGCCTCGGAAGGCGGAGACTCCCCGAGGCGCTGGGCACATCGACGCTGCAACCAGCGAAAAACCCTTTGAAACTGCAGAGCACCATAAACATGTGCAATGTTATGATTGTTACCACCTGAGTCACAAACAATACATGCTTCCTGCAACACCTAGGTCTGCTCCCGGCGGACTTCTCTGCCAGGTGGTGGCACTGCCCATTCTTACTCGGTGCCACAGAAGGAAGGGGCTGGATCAGAGCGCGCCACATGGTCGATGGATTGATGGATTCCGTGCGAGGCTCCACGGGCAGCAACTTCCCCCAGGATCAGGCTGTGCTGTCAGGAGGAGAAGGGGCCCAAGCGAAGATCCGAGTGTTACGGAAGCAGTCGGGCCTCTCAAATCTTTTTAAAAATTCAGGCCAAACCCAAAGCCAGGCAGACAATGAGTTGTTCAGGCTTCCTCTCCCCTCCTTGATGGGTGTGAGAGTTTATAGTTATGTTTATAAACAGTTCCGTTCCTATACCCTTGGGCAGGGGCCCTCAGTGGTTGATGGAGATGTGTCAGGAAATCCCCACATCTTCCTTGGTTTCCTTCTGAACTGGATGCGAACTCTATCCCTTCACCCCGACTTCCACCGTTAGCACCCCCTCCATTTCTGGACTGGAGACGCCGAGGGAGTTAAAGGGGGCCCTCTTCAGAGGACACTGGGCCTTCCTGACACTGGTGTGACCAGGGGGTGGTGGCTGTGGGTGAGGCTGGCCGGGAAGCTCTGTGGGTCTACACGTTGGAGAAACTTCCTGGTGGCGATTGGCACAGCTACACCCAGCCTTTTGAGAGGACCTGTCATCTCGCTAAGTCCAAATTATATAAGAGCTTCATTAGCGCCTTCCAAGTCTTTGTTCCGGAATTATTCACAGCAGATGAGGCGGGTGGGCGGGGACTTTGGTGGCCTTTCTACATTCGCACGGTGTCAGCAGCGGCTCGGGAAAAGCTAGTGTGTGCCGGAGAGAGGTTCGTACATGTCAGCACGTGGCCAGATTGGAGACCACAGGCCTGGCGATTAAAAGGAGGCCAAGGGGTAGGGAGGGTTGGTGAGTGAGTGTTACTTGGGCTGTACTCTGAGATAAATTCTATTATGACGCTTCTATAATGAAACATTGCCTCAAACTGGAAACTTTTGGAACAATTTCCCCCAAAATGTATGTGAATAGGCTTTCTAGGCCAGAAAGGTTCTATGATCCAGTAAATTTAAGAAAGTCTGGACAGGTTTCTTTATTGTGGACAGTCTCAGAGCATTTACTCTGCCAAAGTGTATCATGAATCTTCAAAATGGGGACACGGGATGAGACTTCTCAAATGTATTTGACTCTGAAGCTCTCTCCCAGCTGCTGTCACCACCAACACAGCCTTATCTTAGAGAACTGGTACGCCAAGGCACACACATTGGGAAATGGCTTCAGAAAAACATGCTTGCCCGCTCTGTCAGGTGACTCGAACGGCACCACCGAGGAAGGTTTGACCTCACCACCCTTCTTCCATGGAAGTTAAAAAGAACGAGCGAAGGAGTGCCAAACCATTGGGCAGAGGAGATACGGGGTCTCGATCCTTCTTGAACTAAGACCTCCCACGGTCACTTGTCAGCTGTTCTTCTTGTTGTTGCTGTTACTCCTCTCGACCCGTTCCTCCTCAGAACTGGGTGTCTGGTCCATCTCATATAGTGGAGGCACACAGCCTGGGTGCGAACGTTGGTTCCACCACTTGACCAGCTGAGGAAGTTCAGTTTCCTCATGTGTAAGGTGAGGATAATCACAACATCCACCACCCAGGGTTGCCATGAGGATTAAATGCAAAAACCCATGAAAAATGCTCGGTTAACCATTGCCCAAAATGCAAAGGCAAAGTGAGGACAAGGATGGAGAAGGCAGAGGTGGGGCTCAAACCCGACTTGGACTCTGAACAGCTGAGACTCTGGACAAGAACACGCCTGCTCCTGGTGGCACATCCACCACGCACCATGGTGGCCCATAAGCCAGGTGTGGGGAGCCATTGCCACCAAGCGTAGACTGAGTGAGGAGTTGGGGAGGTACTGATGCCGTCCCCCCACTTCCCCCACTTTCTGTGTAAGAGACCTAGGGCAACGTTCCCAAGCTTTCAGCCATAAAATACTGAGAAATATTTGGTTTTATCAGAGTCCAATACTTGCCATACTATCCTAGGGTAAAGTGATGTTATCACCTAGTTTCTGCGGCTTTTGACCCTTTTCATTTGGCAAACACTGATTCTGTTTGTTTTCTTTTAAAACACACACACACACTAAAAATAGTTTACCATGGCTTCCTGAAAGAAGTGGAATTGGTTCTGTTGAAATACAAAAATATTGTAGGGTTTTATGAAATCAGTAATTAGTGGGGGGGGGGGGGGTAGGAGGTGTGGGTGGACAGCAAGCTCTATGGAGCCTTGTCTGTAGAAGATGTTAGAAGCAAACTTGTCATTTAGGCATTTCAGATGACTTAACCTTAGAAATACAATGTGGAAGTAGAAAGAAAGCCTGGGTTGGAGGAAGAAAGTCTAAAGCTTCCATTATATAAATAACCCAACAGCTGATGGTGAGTCAAGTGGCTTGAAACAGGATTGGGTGAAAATGCATTTATGGCAAAATTATCTATGCCAAGTCCCAAACAGCAGATGAGTAATTTGAGTTTACAGAAGTTAAAACAGGTCGGAACTTGTGTTTTCCAAGAGCGAATCCTCAAAGCCCAAGGTCAGTTTATGATTGTTACCTGCCAGAGCTTCACCTTTTATAAGATGCTTTCAGACCCACTGTGGGGCGCCAGCTCCCTGACCTCCGTCCGGCGGAGCCACAGGTTATGTGACAACGCTGATTCCTTTGGCTTTCTCCCCACAGCGTGACCGACTGGGCCCCATCGTTTCTAAAAATCCCGCAGCAAATGCGTACACTCTGCCGTCATGTTTTGTTTCGAAGAAAGACTTCAGTAATTCCTGTTCCAGCATGTTCCAGCTGCCAAGCTCTGGAAAAGGCCTCAAATTTGTAACTCCTGCACCAAACCAGTACAACGTAAGAACACTGCACGCGCTTACTAAATATATATTGAGGGAATGGTTTACCAAAATAAAAGGAAGGAAGGGGCACTTTGGGAAATAGTCCTTTAATGCAGTTGGTAAGCCAGTTAGCATTTGTTGGCTACCCAATGGGTACACGAGGCTGTGCAAGACTCTCACAGGGAATTTGCAGAACCCAGACGAAAAGGGGGCCACGTGGAGGCCAGTGTGAGCAGTGGGAAGACCACCGCCCTGGAAAATGCTTAACTGTAGCCACTGCTATCATGTAAGCTTTCCGGGACAGTGTTCTCATCTCTAACAACGAGCATATAGTATTTGCCATTTTATCTGCAGACACTATTAATTTAATTTTTAGGTTCTTACAGGGAAAATACACTTCTATCTTTCCAGATCACAAAATGGTTGCTGGTTGTTTTTTTAAGAGCGGTGCTCTGCCAATTCTGATCACTTCACAGTCACTGAGGCAGAATTCATGGTTAAGAAATGGAGTCAAGTTCAAATCTTGACTTTGCCACTTTCTAATCGTGTGGCTTTGGGCAAGTTCTATGGAGCCTTGTACCTTCACCTTCCAGGACTCAGTTTATTCATCTGTAAAACGGGGGTGCATATCTAGTTCATAGTGTTAATGCAAATATTAAATGAGGTCATCTATGCTGAGCGCTTAGCACACACCTGGCACAAGGACTCCACAGTCGGTAGAGATGGGTAGCCCTGTCTTTGCGGGAGACACACAACCTCTTGAGCCTCAGTTGTAACATGAAATTAATTACACTTGCCCTATGGGGTTATTATAAGAAGCAAACAAGGCAACGCATGTGAATACATAAGGCATGATAGCAACCCATGAGCTCGGAAGTGGAAGTCCCTGAAAATTCTGCTGCCCCAAGCGAACCACCATCAAAAACCAGCTGCAGTCTCTTTCCAAGCTCTTCCTCCCATAGGCCCTCCCTCCAGGGTTAGGCTTATGCTGTGCACAGTACATGTGCATTTTCTACTTAACTCTATCTTGGGTTTCCCCCTGTGCCATACGATAAGTCAGCTCCATTCTCTTTTAACCCGCCGTGGAGCTGCCGTTTCCCTAGTGGAACGGTGAGACCTTCCCGTGGCACACATGCAGCGGGCACAGAAATGCCCTCTTCAGTTGCCTTTCTGTCGGGGCGAGGAACAGAGCTGCGGTAGTGTTTTGTCTGCAGGTGGCTTTTTCCAGACCCGGAGAACAATGGCTGAGTCAACTGGCGAGGAGCAGAATGCGATAATCCTGTTAGCCACACTGCGCGCTGAGGTCTGCCCAGGCCTTTCTTCGCCTTTGCTCACCATGGCCCCCGCTCCTCCATTCGAATCCTTCCCCTCGATTCTGTGTTATTACTTCCTCTCCGGCAGCCTGGCTCCTCGCCCTGGGTCCAGTAATTAGCCTGCTCCATCTGATCTTTTTGTTTGCCGTCTCGGCAGGCAGCCTAGCCATTAGGACCCTGGGAAAAGCTAAATCTCCCCGCCTTTGTCAACACGAAATCAAAATGCCATCTGCATTTCTTGAGAAGCATTTCTCTGACAAAGGAGTATCACCGAAAATCAAACCATCCTGGCCCCAGCAAATATTTTCGCTCTTTCGGTAAATATTCCCACCCGTCGCACGTACAATTTTTATGGCATCTTTTATCTAGTGGACACAGGAGCCGGACTGCAAATGGGCATTTAAAGTATGTATGATTCACGTGTAGCACAAGCATGATCTCAGGGCTCTTCATTTCCTTCTCTGTGACTTTCAGAGTTCCAGACACACTGGACACTCTCAAATGTGTATTGTGTGGATCAACCAAAATTCTTAATTTCTGGTCAGTCCAGAAAAGTCAAGGCAAGAGAGTGCTTACAAACCTGATTATAACCTTAAAGTACCCGATCTCCCAGCATGCCCCAAACCCTGCGTTCACAGAGGGACTGCGCAGTAAGGAGTCAGGTGGGGTGTGTAGGACTGTGTGTTCTGAAAAGAATAAAAACACAGGAAAGAGAATGAAAATAATTTGCATGTGTAGAGTTACACGGTTTTTAAAAAACACTTTGCTATAGATGGTTTCCATTGGCCTCCTGCCCCTCAGCTCCACCTCGACAACACTGGGTCAGATAGAGCAGGGGTTATGTGAGCCGTCTTGCAGATGAGAAAACTCAAGTTCAGAGAAATTAAACCACATGTGCAGATCACCTGCCCCGTACAGGATCATCTGTCCTGTGTGGGATCACCTGCCCTGTGTGGGATCACCTGTCCTGCTCGGGATCACCTGCCCTGTGTGGGGTCACCTGTCCTGTGTGGGGGTCACCTGTCCTGTGTGGGGGTCACCTGTCCTGTGTGGGATCACCTGCCCTGTGTGGGATCACCTGTCCTGTGTGGGATCACCTGTCCTGTACAGACACTTGCTGAGCTCATAGCCCAGTGATGGCGAACCTTTTGAGCTCGGCGTGTCAGCATTTTGAAAAACCCTAACTTAACTCTGGTGCCGTGTCACATATAGAAATTTTTTGATATTTGCAACCATAGTAAAACAAAGATTGATATTTTTGATATTTATTTTATATATTTAAACGCCATTTAACAAAGAAAAATCAACCAAAAAAATGAGTTCACGTGTCCCCTCGGACACGCGTGTCATAGGGTCGCCATCACTGTCATAGCCGTTCCAGCTGGGGTGACGGTGAGGCACTATCCGTGTGGCCTTCTCCACTCACATCAGCTCATTTTCTGAGGAGGACAGGTGTACATTTGATTTTGTCCCCAAATGTGACCCTCGTCCAGGCACAATGGCAAAGAGCAGGCAGGCACTGGGCACAGCGCTGTGTCTCTCCCCAGGCCTCCGTCTCGTTCTGCAAGCAGAGAAACAACGTCTGTGCCCGAGCCGAGTTCCAGTCCAAAACCCAGAGAGGAGCGTTCGCCATCCCTGGAGAAGGACCTGCACCAGGTAGGCAGCCGCCTGCGCTGGCCTGGACCTAAGGCAGTGGTTCTCAACCTTGGCTGCACGTTAGAATCACCTGGGAATCTTCTTAAAATCCTGATTTCTGGGCCTCATCCTCCAGAAATTCTGTTTCTTTGTTACTAATGTTGTGGCCTCACCCCATAACAAAGAAACAGAATTTCCGGAGGATGAGGCCTGGAAATCAGGATTTAAAAAAGATTCCCAGGTGATTCTAATGCGCAGCCAAGGTTGAGAACCACTGACCTAAGGGGTCAGTCCAGATCTGATCTGAGGGCACCCAGTCCCCCTCCGGCAGCCCCTGGAAGGAGTTAGGCTCTGGGGCGGCGAGGGGTTGAGGCAGGCGTTGAACAAAGGGGAGAAGCGTGAGGAAGAGACCGGCTGTCCTCCTCCAGGGAGGAACGGCTGGTCTGGAAATGCCCCCAGAGCAGCCTCGCTGGTGGGGGAGTGGCTTCTCGCCTCAGAAGAGTGTGCATTCCCACCCCAGGCATCACCACGGGCCACAGAGTGGATTCCCCCGCAGCCTCACACAGCTGTCCTCACAGGCCCACACCGAAGTCCTGTGATCCAGGTGAGGCAGTGGAGGCTCAGAGTTGAAGTGACTTGCACAGTGTCACAGGGCGAGCCCCAAGCCCAGAGGGGTCTGACAGGAGACTGTTGCCCGGTCATCCATGGTGACTTCTGAACTCGGTCCCCTGCAGGATTCGGGGACACACAGGGCTGGCCAGCGAGTGTTCTCCCCGCTGGGCTGGACCCTCTGTGCACCCCCCCCCCCCCCACCTCCTTCACCTCCTCCCCCACCTCCCAGACCCAGTGAACCCTTTGCAGAGAGGTCTGCGCGCAGGAGCTCTCGCTCTATCAGACCTTCGCTTTGGGATCTGAAGACCCCCAGGGAGCCTCGGCCCCGCCCAGAGGAGGAGCAGGGTTTGCCGGGCAATCCTGCCTCCTGGAGGGGGTGTGGATAAAATTGCAGCGCACGTCAGATTTCAGCAAATGCAGATTAAAGCTGAGATTAGTTTGAAGCTGAATAACAAAATCAGCTCTAATTAGGAGGCTGAGCCGGGGCTAAAGCTCCCCGGCCTTGCATCATCCGAGGGCAAAGCCCCACCTTGTTTGTTTATACAGAGAACAAAGCCGGCATTTCTGGGGGTTGGCCGGAGGCCCGGCCAGTGAGCCCCGGGATGCGGGATGCGGGCTCCCCTGCAGCCAGCCTCAGGTGCCACTCCCTCGGGAGGTCTTATCGCAGAGAACAGGATGGGGGAGGGGCAGGTGTCTCTTAAACTCCTACTGTGTGCCCCAGGCTTTCCATTCATCCGAAAGCTCTCAAAGCCCCACAGAGCATGTGCTCAGGAGATGTGAGCCAATATTATTTGTGCCCATTTTACAGGTGGAAATGATACTTAGAAGGCAGGTGACTAGCCCAGGGTCCCCTTGGATTTAACCCAGGCCTCTTGGGTTTGATGCCTGCCTGGTGCCTCAGATACCTCCCCCTCCGCTGGCCAGGGGCCTGGGACCTCTGCTTTGACCTCTCACCTCTCGGAAGTAACACCATGGTTTCCCTTCCCCCTCTGTGGGAGAAAACCAGATGTGGAGCGGGGATTGGGATCTGCTGCTCTGCCTGCCCCTCTGTCGACGCCAGGCAAATGCTCACCTTGACCTGTGTGCTGGTTGGATTTCCTACATTTAGAGGTACCAACCACATCACCAGTGTCCACCTCTATTTTTCCTTTTCTTTCAGAGCACGGGGAAAGGCCTGTGCTCAAGTGTCACTTGCAAACGTGGGTCACAGAATCGGATCTGCCGGGGAGCCCCGCCTCGCGCAGCAGAGCCCAGCTGCGCCCGGGAACCAGTGCTCCCGGGAACCAGTGCTCCCTGGGCTCTCGGGGCCACAGGAACATGCGTGTCTCTCTCTTTACTTCTGCGTCTCCGCATTTTATAGCCGGGCATTGCTTTAACCTTTTCTGGTAGCGGTAAATGAGAGCGAAAAGGAAACAGAAAGATAATGAGAGATATGGACCAATATTATAAAGGCTGCTAGCTGGACATCTGCCTTTAAAATTTTAGCCATATGCTGAGAACATCTCTTCAAGTTATTAAAAATCCTCCCAGAACATCATTTTTAAGCAGACGTATGGGAGGCCATCGTATGGTGGTGCCATGAGTGAAGGAACAAATGCTCTCTTACTGGGAATCGAGGTGGTTTTGAGCTGATCACTAATATAAATACAGTGGCTGCAAACACCCTTGTAGTTCACAGCTCGTGTGCAATCGAGCTTGTTCCCTTATGTAAACTGCTGAAAGTGAAATCGCTAAGTCTGAGGCATGTAACACAGTTGAGGTTTTCGCCATTTGTGATGGAATTGCCCTTCAGCACAGGGGTGACGAGGCACCTTGCGTTGGCCCTCACTGGGCCTGACCATTTAAGGAAAATCTTGCTAATCAAGTAGTAATGTTGTTTTCAGTATTTTTGCAACGGAAAAGTACATTTTATTGAAGCAAAGCCAACTTTACAATGTTTAGGAAATTTGGAATGTTTTTCCCACCCAGAATGCCACCCCTCATATAATGACTCCCCTTTCCTGGGGCCGTGCCTATTTTTATTCAGACATCCATTTGTACCTGGATGCCACCCTCGGGCATAGACTTTCAGGCTTGGCTTTACTTACTCACTCACCTTCATTTTCGGAAACACGGCCAGGGGCCTTACGGTCTTCATATTGGTCATCTTCAGGCCTGAGACTGGGCTGTGCACATGCAGGCTATCCTTTCTCACGCTGTAGAGGCCGCTGGGATGTACATCATATGCTCAGGGCTTTCCCGTTGTGTTGAATCATTTTCTTAATTTCGGAGTCTTGGGGAGCCTGGGTGTGCAGACGTCCTCAAGGCTTTTGCCTAGTGCCGCTGCTCGTACTCCCTACGCCTGCACCCACTGGCAGGGCACCCACTGGCAGGGCACCCCCAAGCTGCGGGCGAGCTGCTTCCTCCTCCCCCAGCTCAGAGCATCCTGCTCTTCCTCGAAGGTTGGTGCTGTCACATGGATCTCGTCCTGTCACAGTTTCTGGAGACGGGGCATGGTGGGAAAGCATGGGCTTTGGAGACAGGTGGCCTGGGCCCACATAGTAGGTGTTCAAGAGATATTTGTTAATTGCAAAGTAGTTACGAGTTACGAAACAACTCCTCTGTGCCAGGAACCTAATGTGTTATTCCACTATTACAACCACTCCGTTGTTGGAAGAATTCTTCTGACTTTATCGAGGAGGGAGCCGCTGGGCTTAGTCCCTGGTTGGATGGATGTCTACGGGCAAATGGTTTAATATCACTGAGCCTCAGATTCCTCACGTTTAGAATGGAGGTGATAGCACCCACATTGCTGGGCTGCGGGAGGATTACATAGGCTGAGTATGTGATGCATGTGGCCCATGTTTGGTAAATGGTGAGTATTGTTTTCAGCTAATTCAGGCAGCCCTTCCATTGGACCGTCTTGGAGTGATATCACCTTACAGTCATTAATGTATCCTTAGGCGGAAGGTATGGCTCTTTATTTATTTGAGAAATGTTTCTTATGTGTTTAAAAATTTCTTTCTGTTTAGGGTATTATGATATCAACGAATCCCTTGTGAAGCAGTCGCCGACGACATTGGTGTCCTGTTTTAAATCAAAAACTGACCGTGGATTAAAACCGACATCGACAGTCCCTGGCCCCGGTTATTACAACCCACACGATCACACCAAGATTCCGAAAAAGACCCTTATCCCGTGAGTCCTGATGATCCTGAACTTTCTTTTGAAAGGCGGTTCTGGGAAGGACCCCGACATGGGAGAAAAGGAAGGGGTGTCATTGCTCGCCAGGCCGCTGTCCTTGTTGATGCATAGTAGGTGCTCAATAAATGTGTGCTGCACCCATAATACATATTGAGCAGCTACTCCGTACCAGGAAGTTCACACCAGGCTCACTTACCATAGCAATCCTGTTGTCAGGATGGTTCTTCCTGGAGGAGGGAGCTGGGCTTCAGGGAGACGGAGAGATTTGCCCAAGTCCACAGGCTGACGAGGTGCCGCTGGGAATCGGGCCTGAACTGTCCAGTTCTTTCCATGTTCCCCACGATGCGTGCTCTCCTGGGCTGACTATCCCATTTTACAACATACAACCTCCCCCGGGCGGCAGGCATGTGAAGCCGTGGAGCTCGCATAGTTTTGTGCTGATCGGTGAGCAGCCCGGACCCTGAGGTTGGTCCGACCTGCTGGACTGAAACGTCAGCTGCTTTCCTGCTCGTGACCTTGGGCGCTGCCCCCACCCCTCTGAGCCTCCGTGCCCGCATCTGTAAAGTGGGGTAATTCATGCCTCACAGTGTTGTTTGCTGATTTAAAAATACAGATTTGGCATATGGATGGCAGACGCAAATGGTGACTTCATAGTAACACAAATTTAAAAAGTAAAGGCAGGTACTTGGTGTTACCTTCACCTAAGAGACTAAAACACTCCCAGGGCTTATTACCTGTCAATCGGTCCTAGAACTTCTAAAACGAACTGCAGTTAAGGTCGGTGCCATCTAAGACCGCACCCCTGCAGAGTCTTCTCCAGGCAGGACGGGCTGCCGGGAGGGCTGACCAGGGGCTGGGACCGAGCGTATAGGCACCTGGGCACCTCTGAGCAGGTGGCTGGGTTCAGAGCCACAGTAGGTCAGAAGTCTGGGCACCCAGGGAGGCTGACAATGATGGGCATCGGTCCAGGGCAAGGAGAGAGGGGAGCTGGGGAGCCCAGCACAACATGAACCTGACGAGAGCAGCGTAGGATCCAGAGAAGGGACTCGGGCCTCAGGGGGAGCCCGCAGGACAAGCTGCGCCTGCCCTCTGGTGCCTGGTTCTGCAGCTTGACCCTGCACAGGCTCCCGGGCTCAGGACCGGCTCTCTCCAAACCTCAGGGACTTCCGGCCTCAGGTTGGCTCAGGCACCACGGCACACCACCTCCCCCTACTCTGGCAGCGAATAGAGCAGGGAAGAGGACGGCTTTGGAGTTAGACCTGAGTCTGAGTCCTGACTCAGTCCCCTGCAGACACTGCTCCCTGAGCCAGTTTCCACGTTGTTAGGCGGAAATAAGAACCTTATCTTTCAGGGGTTCTGTCAGGGTTAGATGAGAAAGTGCTTGAAAACAGCTGTTACCATCATAGCTGCAATTACCCTATACCCTACAGGCATCCTATATTATAAAACCCTAATATGCAAATAGACCAAACGGAGGAATGATCCGTCGCTATGACGCGCACCGACCACCAGGGGGCAGACGCTCAATGCCGGAGCTGCCCCTGGTGGTCAGTGGGCTCCCACAGGGAGAGCACTGCTCAGCCAGAAGCTGGGCTCATGGCTGGCGAGCGCAGCGGTGGTGGCGGGAGCCTCTCCAGCCTCTGTGGCAGCGCTAAGGACCCCTCGGGGGTCCTGGACTGTGAGAGGGCATAGGCTGGGCTGAGGGACCCCTGGACCAGTGCACAAATGTCGTGCACCGGGCCTCTAGTATTAGGATATAGGAGCAGCTGGTGTTTGGCATGGCCGCTCAAGCCCCCAGCCCGCATCTGGAAGCTTCGTCAGGAAATGGGGAAAGGAGCGGGGGGACTGCTCCGTGTTTAACCCCTTTCCCCAGAGAAGTGTCACTTGGCTGGGCTTAAATCGAGATGAGCGGTTTGAAATATTCTCATTCAACGGCCTTTGTACCTGCCAGTCCACAGGCCCTGGAGGCTTCAGGTTCTTGCTGGAGGCTATGGAGCTGCTCAGGTGAACAGAACACCATACACCCCCAGCCAGGCTCACCTGGAGCAACGCAGGGCCAGGCTGGGGCGCAGGCGGCAGAATGCTGGCCAGTGGCCACACACAGCCCATCTCTCCAGCGGAGCAGTGCAGTGGTGCTGGCGTGTCTGGGGGTGTCTGGGGCGCACTGGCTCTCCGTGATGCTTTGTGAACAATGGATCCATGGTTAATAAGCCTCGGAAACACTACTTACAAACCCTCTGCCCGGGAGCATCGCAGTGAGCGTGGGCTTGTTAAAGGCTCTGAGAAGGCCTGCACAAAGGAACCTATTAAGCCCAGTGTCTCTTACATTCAGGCTTACCTGGGTGAGCAGATGGTGTCCCAGCCTCTGTGGCAGGACATCGGTGTTCACTGGCTCTGGGGCCTGGGGCTGCTCTCAGCACCTCTCTGTGTGAAAAGAGGGGAGGTCCTTTCATTCCTGACGCTCATGAGCCCAGGAGAGCACAGAGGGGGCAGTGAACACAGAGCCAGCCGGGAGCCGCAAAGGAGGTCCAACAAATAGATTTTTAATTCATGCGGAAAGGATGGAGCTGAGAAACCTGTGATTTCACTGAAAAGACGGGAAGATAAAAACTGAAGTGTACTTTGGGTTATTCTAAAAACAGATCCAGCCATTATGTTGAGTGATGGAGGAATGATGTAAGATGAAGAAAGATACAGGCTCTCAAAGCGAGTTTTGCCGGCTCCCCTGTGTCCCGGAGGGAAGAGGGACAGGAGTGCCTGGGCGCCCGTGTTCCGGGACTCAGGCCCCTGCGAAGGTCCGTGCAGTTTGCTGTGCATGCACTGAACACGCATGTGACCGTGTGTCTTGGGTTGGAAGGGCTTGGCTCCCCGTTTGGGCACACCACAGGGGGCCTCTGCTCTGGCCACTTTGCTGACTCGGAAGCTCAGAGGACTCACCAGCTCCCAGGGGGCTGCAGAGCGCAGGGCCCGCCACGGCTTCCCATCGGCAGGTCCTGAGCATTGGTCACAGCGATGACTCAATGGATCAGAGTGAGTCTGGCTTTTGGAGAGAAACCGTTCCTCCCAGCTCAGCCTTCCAACTCACCCTCGCCCGCCCGCCAGGAGGTGAAACTCCCACTGCCATCTCTCTCACCCTGGCTCTACTCCTGGGCGCCCTCAGCCACTGGTTTTGCAGTGACGCGCTGCCCTGTCACGGCTGGGCCCGGAGGATCAAGCCCTCGGCCCCCCTTCACTTTGGGTGATTAGGAGGGACCCACCTAAAGTTCCCCTGGGGTTGTCAATTAGATATGGGCGCTTCTTCCAAAGCTGTAATCTGTCACCTGCTACCTGCTAAACAGACACTGCCTTCCAGCCCCGGGGCATCGGCTGCCCTGTAATGAGGAGAAAAATTGCCCCTTTATCCCTCCAGACCCTGGGAACCCCCCCGAGGCAGAGTCTGAGCTGGGAGTGTCCCCGGGGTCTCCATGCCGCCCCCAGTGACCTGCTGAGCCCTCTGACACATTCATTATTCTCGGCGATTTGAAAGCAGCTCACGTTGGAAGCTGCACACACACTTAATCCAGCTGTGGCCAACTCAGAGCTTTGATAGATGTTTTCTTTCCACGGGGCAGGACCACGGTGGCTTTTATAACTGAGCCATGAGGCTCATAAAAGCCGCTCGCAAAGCTCGGAGGGCTGCCCCGGGTTTGATCCAGCCCGACCTTTGCGATGGGCCCAGCCCCGCCGCCGCACGGAGGGAGCAGCCCTGGCCGATGATAAATCTGTCTGGGGGCGCGGGGTCCAGATGTTTGGGCTCCCCCACTGGCTCCAACCCTCTGCTTTTCTCCGCTGTTCAGCAAATGTCCCCAAAGATGAGTCAGACACAACCCTCTCCCTCAAGAGCTAGCCAAGTGAGGGGCATAGAAACAGCATGTTCTGTGCAGAGGAAAGAATGGCTAGAATGTATGGAGGGGCAGCTACACTGATATTATCTGGGGCCGTGCTTCCAACTCTCCCACAGATCAGCACTGTACGTAGACTTAACAGGCCAAGTGCAGACTCACCAGGTACTGGAGCAGGGTCCGAACCCAGGCTCCCCCAGGAAGGAAGGTGGGGGCGGGGAGGAGAGAGGGCTGCAGCCTGCGAGTTTCCCTGCAGGAGAGAAGTGAAGATGGAATCAGAGTTTGCAGGGAAAGGCAGAAGGAACAGCATGGGCAAAGGCACGGAGTTGCTGAACAGTGTGGTGTTGGGTGTTTCCAGAAGGCAACATGGGAGCAGAGGACACAGGAGGTGGGGCTGCACTGAGAGGCCATACATGGAAGCTTTTCCTTTAGCTTCTCATCGGGGTCTGCGAGGGTGGATGGTCAGAAACCCAGAAATCACAGGCGGATGGAGGTTTGAAGGCAGGTGAGGTGGCTCACCCTTTGTCTCCTTGTGCCCCAGGTCCTGTCACATGGGGCTGCAGCCTTTGCCCCTGCTGTTTCCGCTGCTGGAAATGCCCCCTTGCCCACCTTTCCTACCTGAAGAATTCCTGCGTCCCTTTCAGGGCAAATGCTGGCCCTTCTAGGGTAGATTTCTCTCTCTCTCTCTCTCTCTCTCTCTCTCTCTCTTGTCTATCTATCTATCTATCTATCTATCTATCTATCTATCATCTTTATTTCTCTATGTATCTCTGCACTCTCAATGTAGTTTTTACCTCTAGTTTAATATTTAATATTTAAAACAATAATGCAAGTAAAGCACTAGCTAGTTTTCATAACAACCTGGGTGGCAGGTATCACCCTTCATTCTACAGAAGCAGAAACAGGCCTGGGAGGCAGAGACTTCTGAGGACACACAGCTAGCGACTGGGGGCGTCTGAGCGCCAAGCGGCCCTGCCTTCAGCCGTCAGCAGCGTGACTGTCACTGCAGTGGACTGTCAGCCCTCGGGGGTGTTCAGGGCCTGGGTCTTCACACAGAAGAGCCTGGACGCCCCCGATGCCTGCTGCAGAGCCGCACACATGGCCGGCACTCTCTGCAGACCCAGAGCTGCGTTGGCAGGGCCCAGCCACTCCTGGGTGTGCTGGTGGCCTGGAGGGCAAGGGACCTCTCCCACCCGTTTTCTTTTTCTTTTTTTGACCCATTTTCACCAGAATGCTGACAGACCCTGCCCCTGCCTGCTCAGCCTCCGGCAGGTGTGCCTGGTTGGGGAAGGAGGCCCCTCACGGCGTCTCAAAGAATCGGGCTTGGGGGAGACTCAGACAATGGGGTGACCTCATACAACGGTTGGCTCATTTTAGACCTAATGTCCAGGAATCAAGGCTGTTTCCCAGCTGTGTCAGTCACACACTCATCAAATTTCTGGGAGTTCTTTGAAGAGGTGACCCAGCCAGAGCAAGGAGCAGCCAGCTTCTATTTATAAGGGGAGACGATCACACACTATAACCAGTTCTCCCACGCCAGCTGGGGGGTGGGAGGGGGTGGGGGGGAAGGAGGCAATGTTTCCCCCCTTTTCCTCTGGCACCTTTGTTCTAAACATAAGAATCAAAGCCAGCTGTTTGACCGCCCCCCCTCCCCCGGCAGTGGGAGGGTCCACCCTCTGGGTGACTCTGTGAGGGAGCCCTCTAGCCTCCCTTTCCTGAGGCTCGGCTGCTCCTCTGAGACCAAGCAGCTGGGCAGAGTGCTGTAGGAATCATAACAATGACTAATTTTATTGAGCACTTACTGTGTGCTGGCACTATGTTAGGTGCCTGACATGCCTTTTCTCCATCAAATCCTGTAGAAAGAGCGGGTGGCATTGCACCTTGCCACAGGCAGACAGGTTAGGGGACTTGTCTGAGTCTCGTTGCCTGGGAGTGGCACGCCTAGAATTCAGACTCGGGTCTGTGTGACTCTCAGACTCAAAAATCTCCCCGATGCCTTCTCCTGATGATTAGGCACCGGAGTCTTGGGTCCTGGGCCCGCATTACCCCTGACGTGCTTTGCACTTGGGGCGACCAGCTTTCTCTGGGCACCGATTTCTTTAGCAAAATAAGGAGGTTGGCTGAGACGCTCTAGGTCCCCACCTGCTCGCTGAGTTTAGGAACGCCTCTGTTCCAGAAGGTGCTGGCCACAGGGCGGCAGAGTCTCAGTGGCCAAGATCCCAGTTCCCTCCTCTGTTCCGCTGGGCTGGCTTCAAGCTGGGGTGAGTCCCTGTGGCTGTTCAGTGCTCTGAGAACTCCTCTTCCTTCGGTGAGAGATCTTGTGAGAAGCCTCCGGTGTGAGGCGGGAGCAGGCAGCCCTTCTACTGAGTGGCTGGGAGAGGAGTACGATTCCCATAACAATCCCAGAATTCCCTGGGCAGCCCAGTGGCCCCTCTTTGAATCAAGGGTTGATGGAATGTCACAGCCGGAAGGGACCTCAGAGCCCATCCTATCCCCCCGCCCCCCCCCCCCCCGTTTTACAGATGGGGAGACTGAGGCACAGAGTGAATTGCTGTCAGAGCTCGGGCTTAGGTACAGGTTCCACTTCTCTCATTCATTCACTCAACACCAGGCATGAAAGACGAAAGGCTCCCCTCTCTGAAGGAGGGGGAGACAGACCTGAAAACAGACCATGGCAATGGAAGGGAGGTGCTATGCAGAGGCCCCTCAATCCCCAACCCAGCGTTTTTCTACTCCCATGTCCTGCCTCGACAGGAAGACATGTGGTAGGGCTCTGGGGAGTCGATACCAAAATGGTCTCTAGCGATCTACCGGTCTTGGGATAGCAAATCCCTGGAACCGGGATGCCTGTTCTCTTTCCCTGGCCACGGCAGACATCACAAGTAGATCACAACGCTCTTCATAGGGCCCATGCGAAGCCTCCGTCCTTTGCACCGAGCTCCAGCCAGGCACTGCCAGTCGAGCAGGGTTGACGATGAGGTCAGTGCTGTCTGCCATTCCTGATTAGCTCAGCAACATCATTACAACAACGTGTACGGAGCTCTCCCGTGGTGCTGGGCTGTGTCTGTGTTTTCTGTCCCATCTCACTGAGCCCTGACAACAGGCCTGCGCTGTGGGCACTGTTAGGATCGCCATCGTGCACATGAGGAAACGGAGGTCCCAGGCCCCCAGCTCTCAGCAGTGGATCCACAGGAAGAAGTAGGTCTCCTGGTGCCATGCCCTGTCCACCTGCAGACGGCTTGCTGCTGGGCAGGTCTTGGCTACGTCTAAAAACTACCATTTCCCCGATAGACCGCGCGAGTGACATCTTCCCATTCTGTCTTGTCTTAAGGAGACACCGCCTCCTGAACTTCTCCACCCAGCCTCTGTCTCTGCCCGTGAAGCCGCCTCTCCCAGGCCCCGGTCAGTACGAGATTGTGGACTACGCCGGGCCCCCCAAGTATTTAATCTCCAGTGCATCGTTCGTGTCCACCACCAAGCGGTGGACAGCGGCACCGACTCAACCAGGCTTGCCTGGCCCAGGTGAGAGGGTTGTTTGAAATGATTGTAAAAACCAAATCTGGAATTGTTTGTCATTCCTGGGCCATCAAATGCCACTGGTTTATAGGTTGTTTGCCAAACAGGTTATAGGGGTTAGAATGGATTTAGAAGACTTTTCAGCTTACACTTTCTGAGTATGAAAGTTTGTGTGTGTGTGTGTGTGTGTGTGTGTGTGTGTGTGTGTGTGTTTAAAGTGAGAGGGCTCTTAGAGACGATCCAGGCCAGGGATTCATAACCAAGGACCATGACCATCGAGAGGCTCAGAGACAGGCTCCAGGGGTCTGTGACCCTGACCTTGTCTGCAGACATTCTCTTCTGGGCTAAGGGGCCATAGCTCTTGTCAGGTGGTCAACAAGTTCATGTTCTCACAAATGTTTTCATCACTGGCCTCGCTTGGCCGAGTCACTTCCTGGACGGGGAGCCGGGAGAGCAAGGTGTCCACAGGTCTCGGGAGGGAGGGGCAGCCGGATCGCAGGGGCGTCCCCTCTGCCTGGTTTGTCAGGCACAAACCGGGGATCGTTTACTGGGCAGCTCTGTTAAGCCATCTAGTTCACAGGTGAGCTTAATCGGTGATACCCTGTGACCTCAGGTACCTACCTGGGAGCTAATCCCACGAGGGACCTATTTGGAGCTGTCTATGGAGCCCCTTAGCTATTTATCTCCCCTTGACATGGACCAGACCTAGGGGCACGGGTCAGGTGTGCACAGACAGGTGTGCTGGTGTGCAGGTGGGGTGGGCGGAGGAAGGCGGAGCTGAGCCGGCTGCCAGGCCTGTTAAATTCAGTCTTTCAATGAGCATGGATGCTGCTCCCATCCTGGGGAGGCAAAGATGACTTAAGCCCTGTGCGTGGGTCTGGTGGGGAGACACCTTCCCCTCCAGACTCACAGGTGAGTAGAATGGAAGGCAGACAGGACAGGGAGAACGGCACTCGCATAGCTTTGGCCTTGGAAACGTAGTCAAGCCAACAAGACGGCAGAGGTTTGACCCTCAGGTCGTCTGGTCAGTCCAGGCAGAGCTCATTCTGGTTCAGCATTTGGGTTGTGCTGATGCTTCTGTAAGTGCTGAGCTCCAGCGGGCGGTCTCGGGAGGCCCGGGGGCCAGGGGAGACCCTTGTCTGACCCTGTTGGGCCCAGACCCCTAAGAGCTTTGTGTCCGTGTCTTCTCTGCGCTGTGCAGGGTGCGAGACACCTGGCACACGGGTCGGACGGTACCTCCTGGGCATGAGCACAGGCAAACATCTGCCTCCTCGGCCCCAGGGGGTGCAGATGTGCCTGGACTGCCAGGTGCCCCCATCAGCAGCTTCCCAGGTAACCAACAGGGGTCACCCATGGCCCCTCGTTAACCAAGTCAGTGTCAGTGTGAGTTCCCAAGCCCCTATGGTTCCGGCTGCTGGTTTCCTAAAGGACCTGCAGGGTCATGGCTTTCGCTTTTCTGGAAATTTCTGAAATCAATCAAAACAAAACCCCACCAAGCTGACACCTTGCTTCTTAAGAGCATCGCTTGACTCAGTCCTTCCCCCCGCAAATTACATAGAAAGGTCTTTTGTAAATTTTTCGTTTTCAAAGAAGTGAAAAGGGGTTAAAGAAGGTGGGAAACCAGACTTCGAGTCCTACCTCGGCCAGTTAAGAGCCAGATAACCTCGGGCCGTCCCTTCCTCTGTCTGCCTCCCCACATGGGTGGTGCAGGGGCTGGGACAGGGGTCCCACTGGCCCCGCCAGCTCTGACGTAGAACGAAAGAGACTCCTGCAACTGGTCTTCTCCTTCTTCACGCTGCCCCTCTCTCCTCACAGCCACCTACAAGCCGGAGCTCCCTGAGAAGCATTCCTTTCTCTACAACGAGGGCAACAGGTGGATCCCGGTGTTGTAGCGGCCTCACAGGGCACGGGAAAGGCCGGCCACCAGCGGCCCCACGCAGGTGCCCAGGGCTGACGTGGGGCAGCTCTGCCACCTGGGTCTGGTGTTACAGCTGGGCTCGAGCTGCCTCCTGGAGATTGGGCCCCCTACTCCTGCTGACCTCATGGTTTCCTGAGAAGAGGAGGAGAGGACAGAGCCTCCCCGGTTCCTTCGCCAGGCACCTGGGCAGGCTGCTGTCTGCACCCTGCCCTCAGACGCAAGGGGCTCCTGAAGCTTGGGCTCCAGGGAGAAGGTAGAGGAGGGAAGATGCCCTGCCTAGCAGCCTGGTGCTGACCAGGGCTCCGGGGCCCGCGTGCATCTGCAGGGGGGACAGCACATCCTTCTGGCCTTGGCTTCCAGACCCTCCTGGTGTTCCCAGAGCTGGAAGGCTCACAGGCGCTTGTAACACAGACACGAAGGGGTTGCCTGGGTTCCTTGCCCCCCACTTAGCCCTTGAATCTCACCTTCAGGGCACCTGTGCTCAGCACCCACCCTCAGGAGAGGCTGCCATGTGCTTTATTGGCTCCATATTCAATAGCACATGTGGGCGGGGCCCTGCTGGAGCCAGAGCCGGGACACAGAGGTTCTGGGGGGCACGGGAGCCACGCAACACCCTGAGCCTGCAGGTTCTCACTCTCACCCAACCTTTCCCCTTCCTGGGCTGGGCTCCCCAACCTCCCACTCAAGTTTGACACACCTTTAATGCATCTTTTCTGGCCTGTCATTTCCCCTTGGCAAGAGGAGAAGATTCCCAAAGAACCAGGAGAAGATAGAAGTAGCCACACACCCCCTCCTTCCCCAGATGTTGGCAATGTCTTTCCGTTTGTAAGTGGAACTCGCCCAGGCAGCCTGCCCTCGCCCCAGCGAGGACAAGGCTCTCACTTCCCTTTGCTCCCTCCTTTGACTTTTCTCTGGAAATGCTACATCCTGGGCCTCCATGTCAGAACTGGCTGCTGACTGGCTCTCCACTTAGGGAGGGGTTGGAAGGATGGAAGAACATCCAATTAAATTGAATTCTTGCATCTCACCAAAGCTGGCCTCTAAGTGACCTCTGATTCCCGCAAGCGCCCATTGCTTTGGGATACGTTGGAGGTGGCGGGAGCTCGGTGCAGGAGCAATGGAGTCTGGATCTAAGGCGGCCTGGTGCTCCCATCCCCGCAGGCCCTTCTCCTTGAAGAGTTGGATCAGAGTTTGCAGGCTCATGGTCAAGCTCTTCCAGGGCTGGGTGGGCAATGCATGGAGCAAAACAGGTGATGCAGGGATGGGGTCAGGGGCCTGGGAGCTGAGGCTGCTGCCTATCTAAAGGGGCATCCAACTCGGGTCCAGCAAACTGTTGCCAGATCTGCAGGTCTCGCAACAGAATCTGGGAAATACTTAAAATGTGCAGTGTCTTGATTTGAGATGTTTACAACCGTGTTTCAATGTAAAGTTTTTTGTTTAGGCCAAAGGAAACTCTCCTGCAAACCATTGGCTGTCCCTTGGGAGCCAGACGTTCTGGAAGACGCTTTCAAAGCGACGCTTAGAGCTGTACTTTCCTTTCACCCCAGACTCTTGACAATGAGGCCAGACCCCAGGCCTTGGTTCTTAGGCCCCTCTGACCCTGGGGGATCTCAGCAGGCCACTGGGCTGGTAGGAGCGGGCTCCAGGGAAAATGACAGCCAAGAGCGCAGGGCAGAGTTGGCACAAGAACTCCTAGCCCTGGGCTCTGCCCATGGACCCCAGCTACGAGGTCCTCGGCAAGGCCATCCTGACCCTTTCTAGGACTTCTGCATATCCAGTCAGTGATCCCCAGGTCATGACATTCAGCTGTGGGACCACACAGGGCAGAGAGCTGGGTGTCCTCCAGGTGGGACGCCTGCTTTACTGGTGCCCAGCACAGCACTGCCCTTCAAGTTGGGGCAAACGCCCCCAGGACAGGAGCAGCCAGGCTGTCTACTCTCACCCTCTCCTCCTGGCAGACTTCCACAGAAGGAACAAGTGTGGCATTTGAAGTAATACATAGGCAGAATTTTATTACTAAATACTATATGAGTATACAAAATGCATAATTGAATAACCGCTAAAAAAATAGTCCAAGAAATGTGAAATACACATTTTTTGAAATGATAAAAATGTATCCGTGAAAATATAAAACGTTGCATATATATACAATATATACTTATATATTTATAACATAAATGAAAACTGTAAGTGAGAAATGTGTACAGCAGTGAGCAGGGCGGTCGGTCATTTATGGAGCAGCCACGTGGTCGTGGCCGATCAGCTCTATTATTTACATCGGGCCCGGGGGACGTCCATGAGAAAGAGGTGCGTCCACTACAGTGTCTTTTCAAAGTCATTTGCACTGGAAACCGAGAGTGTTCAAGTTCACTGACCACAGGGTGAGAGATCCTGGGTCTGAAGTCGGTGGGAGCAGACAGCGGTCAGGTCGGCTTTGGGAGCGAGGCCCGCCTCCAGCACCGGGATAGGCAGCCCGCAGAGCAGCTGCGGAGGAGGAAATCGTCTGCCGGTCGCTAACCAAGACGGCGCTGTCTGGCTGAGCGGGCACTGGCAGGCGCTCAGAGTGGATTCAAGCATGAGGTGGGGGCTCGGGTCAGGACACCTCCCAGGTCCCTTCTTGGCCCTGACGTCGGGGACTCGGGCCTCTTCCCTCTGGGAAGGCGTTCAAGTAACGGCACTGAGGCATGAGGAGAGGTTGTGTGCGGCATGGGGCCACTGGCAGCTGGCTCCTGGCCCGGAGCTCCCCGCCGGGGTCCTCACAGCTCCTTCAGGGTGATCTGAATCTTGCCATCATGCTCCCCCATGTCCAGCAGGAAGGCGACATGGTTGCTGTAATGCTGAATGATGTTGTTGTCCATGTTGACCAAGATTCTGGAAGAGAAGAGATGTGGCTAGACTGTGGGAGGTCCCTTGCCTTCAGGGCTCTGAGTGACAAGGATGACAGTGATGGTTACTACATATCGGGGACCCCCGTTATTTCCAGTGTCTCACAGACTTTCTCTCTGACCCTCATAACAACCTGCAAGGTGGTTGTTCCCTGTCCCACTTTCAGGGGAGGGCACAATGCCCAAGTGGCCGAGCCACAACTCAAACCAGGCCTGCCAGTTACCATGCCCTCGACTGTGCCTGGGTGCCTCTCTCAGTACACATGAGCAGGACACTCGTGAGCAACTAAAGGTAGACTTGGGGAAGACTCAGTGCTCCTTAGTCATCAGCCAGACTGAGGACTCAGACACAGTGTGTGAGTTCCAGTGCAGGAGGTGTGGCGGGGGGAGAGTGTGGAGACAGCAACGTGCCACTCAGATGTGCCTGCCTGAGCCAGAGGCGAGGACCACACAAGCCCAGTCTCAGCCCCGTCCCCGGGAAGCTGACATCTCGGATGCACAATAGACTTGAGGAGCTTGGCCTTCTCTCTCCCCACAGGCTTCAGGCTAGGACCTGGGCCAACCTGAGGAGAAAACCTCCGTGGCGGGGCCTCTGCAGGGGTCAGAGCCAGAGCACATACCAAGGGGCACCCTAGGAGCTGCTTCCCGGGGGAAGGACCCAGGAAGAGGTGACCCGACCTGATCCTGTCAGGAACGGAAGTGAGTACTTTCACCCGTCCATCCATCCATCCACCAGTCCATCCCACCATCATTTGCTGAGGCCTTTCCACATGCAGGGCCTTGCTCCAAACAAAAACAAGGGTCACAGAGACCCGAGAGCCTGTCCTCCAGGAGTTTAGAATCTAGCATGGCCCCGAGAACAACACCTTGTAACCCTGTTACTCTAGCTCATGATGGGGAACCCGAGGCTCAGAGGGGTAAAGTCATTTGCCTCGGGCCACACAGGCAACAGATCGCCCAGCTGGGATTTGAATCCAGACTTTTGTCTCTCTTCACTGCATCTTTTTTTTAAAAAAGAAAAAAAAATCCGCCCCCCCCCCCCCATAAATACAAATTAGAAAGTGGCATATATAAGGAAGGCAAAATTCAGGACTGGGGAGAGTTCAGATGCGGGCAAGATTACTTTAGGAGGGGCAGGAGGGTGCGGTGAGAATCCCAGACCACGCTCCTGGCAGGTAGCTGCCTGCTTTCCTGAGGACCCCAGGGGAGGCGGCTGCCTTGTCCCCACCATCCCCAGGGCGGAGGGGCAATGGAGACAGCGGTGGGCAGAAGCCAACTGCCTGTGTTCAGTCGTCTCTGCAGCAACATCAAGCAGCTGCTGCTTTTCGGAAGGCAGCCTGGCGCAGGCTCCCACTTCCTCAGGTCCTGCTGGTAGTTCCTACACTTTACAGGGGGGTCTTTGGGGGCAGCGGGGATGGGGGGAGGTAGAGCAGAGGGGTGGCACTCTGTCAGTGGCAGGGCTTGGTTTGTTTCATGCAGGGCATTTACAGGGTGTGTCTGGGTGCCAGGCACTAAGTGCCTACGTGCACACACTAAAGATGCCTCCCTCCTGCGCCCAGGCAGGGCCTCCCAGGGGCCCAGGCTCACACGTGTGCACGAGGGAGCCCAGACAGGCCCAAGGACCCTTCCCCTCAGAGGTCAATGACCCCTGGGCCCTAGAGGCAGGGGTGTCAGGAACCCTGTCCCAGAGGTGGGCCTCCTGTCACTTGCTAGCTCTAGCCGTCTTCTGTCCTGGTTCGCATGAAACCCCTGGCCAGCTGCCAGCAAAAACAATGTATTTGTTCATCTTTCAAGCACTCAGTGGTGCTTGTAAGCTGATTGCATCTGCCTTTGTCCAGAGGACTCTCGGGAGGGTTCTATGAAAATAACGAGGCCACTGATTAGAATTTCCTGCTCCTCAAACGAGAAGCGTCCGACTCTTAGGGAGGTGACAAATGAGCCTGGCCTCTCCCAAGGGGCTTTTTGGGGGGCTCTTCTCATTGGGCATCAGAGGCAACCCTAGACCTGAGGTTTCCATGGTTGGGGGGTGTATGGGTGTGGGGTGCCTCTGAAGGGCTGCCCCGGGCTATGGGGCTGGCCTGGCCACAGCCTGTATTTGCTCACTGCTTAGCGGTTAGAGGAAAAAGCAGGAGGCAAGATAAAGTCGGGGGTGTATGCACAGCCTTTAGGCCAGGATTCCTCCTGCCATTTACTAACTCTGATCCTGGGACTACTCAGAACCTCAGTCTCCTCCTCTGTGGAACAGAGATGATCACCCAAACTCAGAGGGTCAATGAGAGGATCCCTCGGAGTTATCTAGCCCAGCACCTGGCGTGTACAACGTGCGCCACAAATGGAAGTTGTTACAATTATGGCTTAACTAGCTGGCTGGGCTTAAGGGAAAGACTTGCGACTCAGCCAGTGGGGCTAGGGGTTGGGGCAACCTTATATGTATTACCCCACACCCCAAATCATACTCAGGGCACCTCCCAGCCGCTCAGCCCAGCTCTGGTGGGATGGGTAAGGGAGGCTGGCCGCAGGTGGGGCTGCAGCCAGGGGGTGTGGGCACTGGCACTGAAAGGGGAAGTGGGGCTGGGCTTGTCCGGGCAAAGCAGAGCCTGCCCTCTGCTGTGAGCCCCAATTTGAAACCGAAACTTGAAAGAAAAAAAACCCCAGACACTCATACAACCAAAACCAACGGATCCTTTCCCAGGGGCTGCGAGCGCACACCTTCCCCCACCCCGCCCTTCTATGGGAAGCTGGGTGGAAACTGAGGAGGGAGCGGGGGCAGGGCTGGGCCTGTGAGGAAGGAGGCCACCCCTGGGCCTAACTGGATGGGGCCTCAGCCTGAGTCCAAAACCTGCCTCACTTTGCAGTTTTCTACAAAGGACAGGCCACAGCCATATACAGGGGACAATGCCTGCTCACTGCCGGGGCGACCAGTACGTGAGGCTGGAGTTAGACTGCGCTGGGCAGGAGGACCTGGTCGGAGGTGTGGGCAGTGGGGCCGGGGGTGTTTCCCAGAGCCCTGGTGCTGGGTCCTGGAACGGCAATGGCGATTTTCTCTGCTGGGGGGCGGGCTCAGCTGGGCTGGTGAAGTGACCCAGTTAACAGTCCTCTGACCAGGGGACGGAAGCCTGGGAGGGCAGTGACCATGTGGATCCCACACCAAGGATCTCCCAGGAAGAGG